CTGTAATTTTTAAAAACCGGACTGTAAGTTTCCAGTATGAAGAGAGATGGTATTGTTAAGATCTCATGTTTTACAAAATAAGGTTTGCAAGATACCCTCTGATTTATGTCACATATGAACCTCACAGCCTTCTTCTGCAAAGTGAGAAGCATTCCCATTAAGTTTTGACTGGCTGCACCCCAGACAGTGTTGCCACAGGCATTGGAAATTTGTGCCAGACTATGAATTCAAAAGGGGCCAAATTGCAGATTTTCGGGCAAACCCTTCACAAATTAAAAAGAATAGAAAAGCCCGCCGGATGCAGAAATTTTATGGAGAAACGGGCCAGATTCGAAAAAGAGTGGCCAACGGGCCACTCCGCCTTAGGAAGGGCCAGATCTGGCCATATGGGGCCACCTGTGGCAACACTGACCCCAGAATCGAATTCCATACCTCAGATGACTTTCAAACAGGGAAAAGTATACTGTCCTTGCTACATTCTCGCCCAGTTCAGATCTCAAGCATCGTATTGCAAAGCAACCAGAAGAAAGTTTTTTACTTAATATCATAATATATACCATTCACCAACTGAAAAGAATATACAAGTCCTGCAGATTTCTTCTATGTTCAAGAGTTTGCAAGTTTAATAGTTTTAACAAGTCATTGTAAGCTAATGAATCGTAAACATTTTCTCTGAATCTTTTCAATTTGATATTTGTGATTCTCATAAAAAGGGGACCAGACAGAACGTATTTGAAGACTTTCCCGACAATGGTACAGTAACCATTTTTAAGTGTATAAATATACTTAGATATTATTGAAGTTCTTCAAGTTATGACGTACAAATCCTAATAATCTCCTTGCTTTGTTTGAGATCCTCTCAATATTTCCAATGAAGTTTAATTCAACATTTGAATATATTCCTAAATCACGAACTAAGAAACCCTACCAACTTCTGTGTTATTAATGAAATAATTAAAAAATAAGGGATATTTAGATCTGCCGAGAGATCTGCAAAAGGATATTATTTTACATTTATTAATATTTAAACCAAGATAATTTTTATTGCACCAATTCAATTGTAAAAATGATTTAGTAAGTTCCTCCTGAAGGGTCAGAGCTGGGATCATTACTCAAAAAAAGTAACGCATTACTTTACAGTTACTTACTTGTGTTTGATAATAATGCGTTACTTGAAATTTAAAGTTACTTTCCGATTATAATTACTTCATTTCCGATACTGATTGAAAAGTAACGCGTTACTGTAACTTGGTTACTTTGAAACTAACCTCTTTACTTTAGAAGTATCTCGTTACTTAAAACTAGCTCGTTATACTTTAGAAGTACCTCGTTACTTAAAAGTAGCTCGTTATACTTGAAAGTAACGCATTATTTTTAGAATACGTTAATTTCGAACTAACGCATTTCTTCAAAAATAACTCTTTTATTTCGAAAATTGCGCTTTATTCCTTAATTTTGCACACCAAATAGTGCAAACACCAAATAACTCAAATACCCAGTAGGTATGTCCTATATGTGGAAGAGTTTTGTTGCAAAATTTAAACAAATTTGGCAACTAAACGTTTAATAATTAACTGAAACCTGCTTTTTTTATTGAAGCGTCTCACGTCTCAGTGTCTGCCTATAGTGTCTTCAGAGGGCAAAAATATTGGAACAGATAGATGCGTTCAGAAACTTCCTTTATAAATTTTGCAAACCGTGTCGCGCATCAAGGTCCTAATTTATTTCCAATATACATATAGACTTAAAAGTGTTAAATTTAAGAATATATTATTCAAAAATGAAGTGAGCTGCTGTCTTTTTGGCAGTTCTATAATCTAGGTCTCCTGTAACATGCACAGCGTTGGAGGTTGAAGGATAAGTTCTAAATTGAAAAAAAAAGTGTTAACATACACCAAGCTACTGAAGTTGAACTTCTTCAAACACGAAAACATACCAGGAAAGGGTTTAAGGAATTGGTTTAAGGGTATAACTCGACTACGTCGAGTAGAAAAAATGTCTGACGTTGTATATTTTTGGTACATAGCAACTCTCATGAAACGACCTCACCCTACCGCGCGTGAAGAAGTTTCACTTCAAAAAGATTGATTATTCAAAATTGTAATTAATTATATTCTAAATTTGAACGTTCATTCTATAGGAGTAGGGCTCAAATTTTGAGAGTTCGAATAAAGCTTGAATACAATTTTTTGATATCTTTTCCTGAACCTTTGAAATTCGATATCAAATGAAACAGATAGGTAATCATCGTACATTTTATTAGTAACAGCCTTTTCTAATGAAAAACCCTGTACCTATATTTTTGATTTTTTGAATTTATTGTTACTTCGAATACTTCATATACTTACCTACCATATTAATATGTCATTTAACTGGTTCTCTAGACCTGTTTTGTAGATTGTAGATTTTGCGGAAGTTGTTTCGGCTTTTCAGCCGCTCAGCACTGCTACCTTTGCAGATATTTTGTACGTGACTCTACATCTTAATTTGTCTCCAGGAAGCGTAGACTTCTGCCGAAGAAAGCTATTTTCCTGGATGTCAGTTGGCCCACTTCTTCTGGTGACAGTGCTACGCCTGTTTTAGGCGTGTAGCCAAAAAATTCAGATGAAGTGGGGGTTTCGCTATTGAAATTGAAAAACATTGCATGATCATAGGGATGTCAGAAAAAAAATTGCGCCGCAGGCGAAAATTTTGTAGAATTTCAAGGTCAATGCTTTATATGAAAAGAATAAAATTTTGAGGGTAAAAAAGTATATGCTAGAACATAGGTTTCATGTTTCGTGGTTTTTAATTATACTTTCTGATCAAGTGGGGAGGTTTGCTCCAAAATCAACTGACAAATCCATGTTACTCTAGTATGATGATGTTTTTGAATAGAGGTGTAGTCTATCACTAATAATTGCCCTAAAAACTTTTGAAATAATTCATGTTTCAGCAACTAGTCTGCTGACTGCAGACTGTCCATTTGGACTAATTCAACTTCATGCCCCATTCTTTTACAGTTTTAGGTCAGCCCTTAGCTGCCCTGCATATACTAGCAGATTTGTTCAAAGCTTTCAATCATCTGCATAGTTTTTCATTTTAGCTTCAATGAGACTTACAAGATCAAATAAATATGGTGTAAAAAGCAAAGGGCCCATGATCGGACCTTGGACAACTCCGCTACTGACCGCTACTAACAAGAAGTTGATTTGAGAACACACCATTTAGGTCCTCTATTACTGCAATGAGTTGACATCCTCTCACTCCAAAGTGTTTCAACTTTTCTAGAAGTAAATTATGAGGAACTTTGCCAAATGCCTTCTCATAATCAAGATAGATCACATCTGTGGGTTGAGAATTATTATAGTTGTCTGTCCAGTCTTCAAGATATTCAAGAAAATTTGTTGTTTTAGAACATTTAGAGAGAAATCCGTGTTGTGAGGGTGGTATGAGATTTTTTTAAAAAAAAAACCTTGTTAATTTCCTAACAATTATCTTTTCCATGCATTTTAGTGGATTGCATGTTAGACTAATAGGCCTATAGTTTTCTGGTCTATGTCGATCACCCTTTTTGAATAGCGGAGTCATTATCGATATTTTCCATTGCTGTCAAATTTTTCAGTTGTTAATTACTCCTTCATAACCGCAGCTAGTCCAGAGATAATCCATTGACATCATAGTTTTGCAGTACTATTGTAGGTATTTCATCTATGCCTGGATTGGACTTTTTCTTTCATACTTTCTACGGCTTTTTAAACTTTTTCTTCAGATTCAAAAGACTTTTCAACCCTTGTATGGACCAGTAAAACAGAGAGAGTAAGGTTCTGCTGAGTAAAGGTTAGGTCGAACTGCTTGGCACACTTTTCAGCCATGGATTCGGCAGGGACTTACCATGTTCATAACTTTTTCTGGCCTCAGTTAATTTCTGCTTTAAAACATTATTCTAGATTGTGTAGATACTGTAGTTCTCTCTATAAATTATATTTAAATATGTTTTTGGATGCTACTGCTCTCTTTAGTAATATAGTACCTTGTATAGTACCAATCAATTTAATAAATGATAAATCATAATCAAAATATTGAAAGCTTGATTGAAAGTCACAAAAATCTTGAAATTATATTTTCAAGTTTCAGACATGTTGGCGGTTATCATGTTATTTATTTTCTGTTACTGGAATATTTTTATATTCAATATATTATATTAACTTTTGATATTACCTACTTATTATAAGCACATACTTATTACAATATTTATTTTTCTCCTATAATTGGAAAATTAAATTTTATTAATAGAATACTTTAAATGCAATCAGTCAACTCTAGAGTCTAAATTTATTAAAAAGCAATTTATGCTTGACAAAATAATTTAACAAAAACAAAAACTAACCTTTGTAGTATTTAATAAAGGCTTAAAAAAAAGAAATAGGTATATTGATATTTTTATACATATATTCCAAGATATATTTTGTGATAGATACCCATCTAAATATTTATTTTTTTGTCATGGTCAAGTACTAAATTCTTCCCAAATATGAAAATGCCCCCATTAAATTACTTTCTCAAAAATGGCATTACTTATTTTTGAGCTACCTATTGTTCTAGTCTACTTTGCTAAAAACAGCATAAGATAATCTGGAGAGTATAGACATTATCCTTCCTTTGATCTTATCAAATGCTATAATTTATAAGTATGTTTTAACAAACATAAAAAAAGTATTGGAAACCTAAACTTATATCCTCCTCAAAAACAATGAAACACTGTTTCTAATTTTAATTTGTTTACCATACTTCTAATTCAATTTTTAATGGGAGTTAAAATCTCCATTAAAATAACTTGACCTCCAAAACGATAAATAAGTTGGAGGCAGAAGAATTTTGATTGCAAATATACAAAAATTAGGTGCAGTTAACATTTGTGAAATGAAGAATATTTCTATTTTTAAAATTGGCCTTATAGCAAATCCTAAGGAAAAAAAATCTGATATGTGTAATGATAATTATTATCCTCATTTTTGCAGTCCTCAAATTGTGATACCTGGTGGCCAACAACAACAAACACATACACTAATGCCTACAGGCCAACCGCTGCTATTGAACCAAATGCCCATGTTAACAGCCCCAGGAGTGCAGTTTATTTTACGGCCTCAAACTGCTACTCAAATGACGACGGGCGCGCCTAAACTACAGGTAGATTTTGATTCATTTGTAAGTTAATAATTTAATTAATAATTAAAAAATAAAGTTTCCATCAAGAACCAATACTTGATATTCATTTTTATTTTAGGCAAATTCACAAGCTCACCAAGGTTTAATACTCCAACCGGCGTGCGGTACTCAGCAGTTACTACAATTAGGAGGACCTGCTAGGTCTCAGCCAATGGTTCGAGTTTTGGCTAATGGAATGCAGCTAGCGCCATCAACTACTACATATGTTACCACACAGGTCAGTAACATGATTGTCATACTATAAAGATTCCTAACAAATAATTTTCCTTATAGATGGCCAATCAGCCAATAAACGCCACACATATTCAACAAACTATAGTTAACAATGCTCATCAACATCAGCAGCATCAAAATTTACAACACATTCAAATTCAGCAGCAGATTATCAAGAAAAAGCCCAAAGTTAAAGTGAAGAAAAAATTGGATCTGGCAAATATCATGAAATTGTCTGGCATTGGTGACGAAGATGATATTCAGTTTGAAAGTGACACATCACAAAGTGAAAGTGAACATAATTCGGTGCCAACTACACCTCAACCTCAGTCGCAACAACAGCAACTCACTCCTACCAGTATACAAGGGCCCCCTACTTTTGTGCAAGCTGATACTAAAAAGAACATACAAAATATTCAAATATCAGCTATGGCACAGCCTACAATTAATACTGCTACTCCTGTGATGCAGGTATTGAATCAAAACTTTCAAAGTGGCATGATCTCGAATAGTACATCTCAAGCTGCAGCTGCCGCGGCGGCTCAAGCCAGCCAGGGATTACCTTTTAATTCCACTTTTATCACTCCAAATTTTACTATAAACAATGGCCTGATGCTGCAGAGAAGTGGGGGATTTAAATTGACAGTGGGTGAAGATGGACGACTAGTTTTACAACATGATCCAACCTTAAATCAGGATCTTCAAAGTCAGCTTATACTACAAAGCTTATTAGGCCTGAATGGAGGTCTAGTTTTACAACCTTCAATGGACCAACAAACAGTACAACAAACCGTACAAACTATTCAACAACAGTCTGTACAAACTATACAGCAACAAACTGTGCAAAGCCAAACTATACAGACTGTGCAACAGCAAACTGTACAGCCTCAGGTTCAGCATACAATACAGTCCTTACAACCACAAATTCAACAGCAAACTGTGCAGCAGACTATTCAACATCAGACAGTGAATGCATTGCAACAACCTATGCAAATAGTGCAGCCACAGCCTATACATAGTTTACATTCACAGGTTCAACCTATTCACAGTATATCACAGTCACAGGTGCACAATTTGCAATCACAAATACAAAATTTGTTGCAGCAACAAAATGTTGTCCATCAGAATGTACCTCAAAATATCCATTCACAGGTATTTATAATTAGCATTTTTATATTTGATTGTTTTTATGTAATATGTTTATTTGTTTTTTTTTAAAGGCAATTCAAAGCGTCCAAAACCTAACTCAGAATGTACAAAATGTGCAAAACCTCTCGCAAAACTCGGTACAAAATGTAGTAGCTCAGAATCTCGCCCAAAGTTCTGTACAAAATGTGGTAGCACAAAATTTGTCTCAAAATGCCGTTCAGAATCTAGCTCAGAACGTTGTGGCTCAAAATATGGCAGCTCAGAGTTCGGTTCAGAACGTGGTTTCTCAAAATATGAGCCAGAGTGCTTCTGTTCAAAATGTCGTGGCTCAGAATATGGCTCAGGCGAATGTAGTTACACAGACAATAAATCAGGTGAGTACTAAAATTAATTCAATATGAAGTTGAAATGATGTGAGGACTTTTTTAGGGAATGCAAAACGTACAAAATGTTCCAACAGCGCAATCTCAACCAATACAGTCTTCTGTGCATAGTGTACAAGGTTTTCAGCAGGCTCACACACAAACTAGTCAGCCAATATTAAAAGTAAGTCCAAGTTACCTTTTTGAAAACATAATAAAATTGAATTTGCCTTTGTCTTTTGTGAAACAGTAAAATATTATTGAATATTTGTGTAGGTTCAACCCTTTCAAAAAAGTCAACCACCAGTACAAACAGTCCAACCAATCCAACATCAATCCCATCAACAACATAATTTACAAGAAAATCAATCAAATCAGCCCAGCAATCCTACTTCTTATGTTGTGAATTTGACACCTGATCAACTAGAACAGTTAAAACGGTAAGAATTTTGTTTTTATATTAGATTTTTCTTTAAAAAATATTAATTAAAGGAATGGGCAAGTCACTGTTAATGGTCAGACAATATTCATGCAACGGCCTAATAAAGAGCAAAATGACAAGAAATTAAGCCCCAAGATTAAACCAGTGAAGAAAGTAAGTGAGGTAACGGAAAATATAGTTTTTCTTCAATATTTATAATATTTTATTTATTGTTGATATTAACCTATGAATTAATTATTTTAGATCAGCAAAATTCAAGGCATAAAATCTCTTCTACATGAAAACCAGCACATAGACAACATGGTTGAAAGAAAGGCTATTGTGGAACAAATCAAGTCTCCTCCACCACAAAATATTAAACCTCTTATTAGTCCTGTAGCTACGCAACCTATAAAGCATATTTTGCCACAAAGTCATGTGCAGCCTATACAGAGTAAACCTCAACAGGCTATGGTGCAGCCGTCTGTACAACATCAAGCAAAAATGGTAATGATTCAGTTTTTGATAATAATTAAAAAAATTACAGGGAATTATTTATTTAGGAACGCCAAAAGTGCCCGAACAGCCCAAAACAGCAAAAAGTTAGTCCCACAATACATTCCCTACAAGATTCGAATGGGGCCAATGCCAGTCACGATGTTGATAAATTATTGGGACAAATTTTGGAGGAAACCAACAATACACATTCAACAAATGGAAGCAATAATAATAACAATACTAGCAATAATCATAATATGGACAGGCAGCCTCAACAGGTAATAATTATTATTCAGTAAATTTCTTAATTCAATTCAATTTTTCTTTCAAAAATTTTAGAGGATAACAACGATACAGCTGACTCCTCAAAAACAGCAACATTTGAAAACGATCCAAATGCAAATACAGACTCTTTCTGCTAGGCTGCAGCCTGGTGATACTGAGGTGCACAATGCTTTGAAAGTTTTATTCGCCGAGCAGCAAAAGATATTGGCGTCTGGGAAATTGTTGCCTCCTGATAAGGTTAGTAATGTTTATAAAAACTCTACTATAGAATATCTGCAATATTCCTACCTGTCACTCAATTTTTCAGAATTTGATTCCTTGAAATTCTGATAGTCACATTTAGTGGTTATTTTCTAGACGCTTGCAAAGATATCTTTTCTCCTGTGATGGTTTACGTTTTTGTTAAAATAAACTCTAAATGTTGTATAACTCAAATGACACACTACTACATAAACTAATCTATGAAAGCAGATTTAAATAATCTGGCAAGTGCAAGGTGCAATCCTCTTACTTAGATCAAGATTGAAAACTTGGCAACATAGGATTTTGTTTTAAGTAATGTCTCTGTAGTGGAAATGTACTTTGAATCTTAGAAAACCTAATGGATCTGGTTTTAAATTGTTTTTTTTTCCTTAGGTGTATTACTTGAACAATCAATTGACCATCGTGAATCCGTCCAGTCTAAACTTACCTTCTCCAGCAAGTTCAGTCAAGAGCGAGCCCCCTAGTCCAGGTCTGAGCAGTAATCATCAAAATATACCCAGAACTACAAGTGCAGATGCTACACCCACAACTAATCACCAAGTAAGTGAAAAATCAACATAACTATCTAAAAATTATAAATTAGATGTATTTGAAATATATTTCTACATGGTATGTTTTAACTTTTAAATGTTCTTAAATCCTCAGGGTCCAGAAATTGTTTAAAAACTAAAACATAAGTCAATCAAAAAAATAAGTTAGCAGATTTGATTAGGCAATATTTATGTATTCAAAAACAGCATACATAAAGTTGCAATATAATAAACCTGACAAGCAATAAGCACAAACCAGAAGACATTTTTTTAAATTTAATAATAAAACATATCTCAATGATAAGATTGATACGATTATCGCCCACTCCAAAAATTACAGCTTGTTGGTATATTATCTTATGTAAATATCTCATGGAAATGATAATATTTGCCTTGTCGGTGTGTGATTATTCTCTGGCTTGATATTTGCGAAAAAATAAATTAATAATAGATGTGTGATTGTGCTATTAATTAATGAGTTAATAATAGGATGTATGAACACTATTATTATTGGATGACTGATTCTGAGAGATATATTTGGGAACAGCATCAGCAACAGTATTATAGAAATTATGGCGGGTGTTTTTTTGACGAGGTAAAAATTCTCTTATTCTAATTTGTGTAGTAATGTTAAATTTCTTTAACAATTTGTGATGATAAACATTTTTTCTTGGGTTTCATGAATCTAAATTCATATTCAAATAAAATATTATAATTTAGTTAATTGACGACAAATATAAGAGATATAGTTCGCCTTACGAGTCTAGCACTACGACGTCTGAAGGGCAAGGGGGAATAACGCCATTCATTTCGAGCTTTATGCTGCCTGTCATAGGAGTTTGCGCAGCGTTTTTAAATATTACTTTTTCCTTATAAATGTAGGTGTGTAACATAGATAAATATTGAGGTATTTTCTATTAGAAGTCAAATACGCAATATTGCAATTTTTTTATCCGCATTCTTTCCATAGTGCTAGACTCGTAAGGCGAACTTTACAGAGAAAGAGGAACATTGTTTAACCCTTTGAGGTTTCCAAGTAAAAATTCCAACACTTTAACCCATCAACGCTAGCTTGAAATAATCAAAATTCAAGGTGCAATACATTAAACAACAAATTTTTTAAATTTAATTATAAATTTGGGTTTTCATCTTTCTACGTTTTTTTATTCTTTCAGCCACTCAACACAGTCGCTCATACACCCCCACGCGTCTCTGTGTCAGTATCGACGTCTACCGGTGACCTGCAGCCTCAAAGTACAGTACACCATCACCCTAGCCCGATTCATCACCAACAAACCAATTCCAATCACCATCACCAAACAATAAACATTAACCATCAAGGAAATACGCAGGTGCCTCATGTGGTGGTCAGTCATCCAAATCATGTATCAAATCAACGCTTGAATGCTGTCAGTCAGGTAAAAATTTGTCTATTTATCCCAAACTCGAGTGAAAATAATTAAAATATTTCAGGTTCCTCAGCTACCAATTCTTTACCCAAAACAACCCCAACTGCACTCGCCCCAACTTCATTCTCCACAACTCCACTCTCCTCAGCTACACTCTCCCAAGCTCCATTCACCTCGAATAAATTCCCCACAGTTACCCTCACCTCAGCCCCAGCAAATACACTCGGTAACTGCACAAACGCAAAACATCCAACATCACATTCAACAAAATCAAACCATAAAACCTAAACAACCCAGTCCCAATCATCAGCAGCCAATCAAAGCGCAGCACCAGTTGTTTCAACAGCAACATTATCAACACCAGCAATTGCATCAGCAACACCTTTTAAATCAGCAGCAACAAATTAATGCGGCGCAGCAACAGCAAGCTCAGAAGCAGCAACAAGTGGCCCAACAACAACAACAGCAGCAACAGCAACAACAACAGCAGTTGTCTTTGGCTAAAAAAGCTCATTTGTAAGTAACACAAATTCAATTTTTTTTAAAAGATAAATTGCAGCTTTTTATTTGTTTTTAGGATTGAGCAGCAGTTGACTCTAGACCAACAAGAAGCCTCAAAACCGGACGTTCACTCACCGTTTCGGAACAAAAGGGATGCATGCGCGCGTTTGCTCAGGTACCACTCCATGGATCAGGCAGTGTTGTCCTTACAAGACTTGCACAAAGCCGATGAGTTTTTCGAATATAATGCCCGGCATTTTATTGGCAAATTTGATAAGATGCAAGACAAGTACAAGTATTTGCTGATGAAGGAGAGTATGGTGAGTGGAGTTATTTTATTGATTTATTCACATTGTATAATATTTATATTTTTTTTCAGAGGCAAGTCCAAACCTCAGAACTAATGATGCTGGACAGGTTGTTTCTGGCAGATGAGCAGCAATCTTTGATAAGGTTGCGTTCGGACTACGAGTCAGAATTACTGGCTTCGACGGCAAATCCGGCTTCTTTAGGAGGTTCTAGTGGTTCTAATGTTGGAGATAAGATGGTGCCACAGGGTCAGCAAAATTCACAGGTATGTTTTGTTGAATTTTTACGTGTGAAGATGATACTTTTTGTTGTGTTGGAATGAATATGATATCAAAAATGTGTCAAGTATAAGGCCTGAATATTTAATTTTTTTCACCTGTTTCTGAAAAAGTACCTACCTGGAAACTAGTCTGACTATATCCATTGGTACTCTTTTTTTTCAATACATCGTCGTTTCTTAAATGAAATTAATTACAATTAATTTTGGCCTTTGGCGTTATCAGTAACAAGTACAAAATGGAAAAACATTTCAATTATTTACAACAATGGGGTTCTCCAAGTAAGCAAGAGCAACAACAATAAAGCGGAAACAGAAAATTTCGGATTTATCAACTAACTACTGTAGTAGTAGTAAATCTAGTACTTGATTCCTTATTTTGGTTTTCTATTTTTTTGTTTACCCATTTAGATTAGATTAGATTGTAAATTTGGCAATCAAACCACTATTTAACATCCTTTTCATATAATTTACACAGTTTTTTTGTAATACTTATTTGGTCATTAATTTAGCATATGTTTACTGTATTACAACTTCACAGTATAGGTGGTCGGAAGGGAAATAATACATGTACCTAGGTGTCAAGTTATAAAGTACCACTGCCTGTAACTTTTTTATGTACGATCAAAAATAAAAAAGTTACAAGGGGGTGGTACTTTATAACTTGACACCCCGTCGGGGGATCCCGAAGGACCATAAGGACACAAAATCGCAAAGAATTTTTTTTTGAAATTTCATCGTTTTAGTAAGAAGGTGATATAGATTTTGGGAAGCTTTGAAAGGTCATAACTTTTTTCTATCAGAGATAGGAAGCTGAAATTTTCAGCGATTCTTATCCCAGTAGAGAACTACAATCCCTGAAAATTTCAGCTCATTTGGACTCATAGTTCCTGAGATAAAATCATGTTAAGCAATTTGGGGTGATTTATCAATTTTTTAATTTTTCTGAGTGCCTTTTTTCATAAAATCCGGTGACAAATCCCAGAATAATTAAGTATATGGAGTTTGGGGGATCCTTAAGGACCAGTAGGACACAAAATCTCAACAAAAAAAAAATTGAAATTTCGTCGTTTCAGTAAGAAGGTAGCTACCTTATGATTTAGATTTTGGAAAACTTTGAGAGGTCGTAACTTTTTTTCTTTTATCGATAGAAAGCTGAAATTTTCAGCGATTCTTATTCTTATCTTAGTAGAGGACTACAATCCCTGAAAATTTCAGCTCATTTGGACTTATAGTTCCAGAAATAAAATCGTGTTAAGCAAGTGGGGTGATTTATCAATTTTTCTAAGTGCCTTTTTTCATAGATTTCGGCTTCAAATCTGAGAATAATTAAGTGTATGGAGTTTCGGGAATCCCAAAGGACCATTACGATACAAAATCTCAATAAAAAAAAAATTGAAATTTCATCGTTATAGTAAGAAGGTAGCTTTCTTATGATTTAGATTTTGGAAAACTTTGAAAAGTTGTAACTTTTTTTCTATTATAGATAGACAGCTGAAATTTTTAGCGATTCTTATTCCAGTAGAGGATTACAATCCCTGAAAATTTCAGCTCATTTGGACTCATAGTTCCTGAGATAAAATCGTATTAAGCAAGTTGGGGTGGGGTGATTTATCAACTTTTCAATTTTTCTGGGTGCCTTTTTTATAGATTTCGGCTTCAAATCTGAGAATAATTTAGTGTAAGGAGTTTGGGGAATCCCAAAGGACCATTACGATACAAAATCTCGACAAAAAAAAAATTGAAATTTCATCGTTTTAGTAAGAAGGTAGCTATGTACCATGATTTAGATTTTGGAAAACTTTGAACGGTCGTAACTTTTTTTCTATTGAAGATAGAAAGCTGATTCTTATCCTAGTAGAGGACTACTATCCCTGAAAATTTTAGCTCATTTGGACTTATAGATTCCGAGAAAAAATCGCGTTAAGGAAATCTGCGGGTAAAGGGCGGGAGCAAAATCTTCTGAGTGCCTTTTTTCATAGAATCTGAATGTACTTATTGGGATAGTTGTTAAATTGACCAAATTTATTTTCCTTCTTTTGCATATAAATATTCCCAATTTAACAAATTTCCATATTATTTTTTACAGGGGCACGAAGTGGATTCTGCCAATGAAGAATATGATGAGTGGGCCTGCATTCAGCGGGAATTAGGCTGTATACCAGACTCCAAAGAGTCTTACAACCAACAGCAATCCACCCCTAATCACAACAACCACCAACAGTCCCATTCGATGACCCCTCAGCCCTTAAACCACCAATCGGTCCAAAACCACCATCATCTAAAACGTAACTCGAGTAGCGACTCACGTCTAGAAACGTTAAAGCGGTTTCGTGTGGACAAGCACACGAAAAGACACGAACCCGGTGTAAATAGTGTACAGTGTAGCGGTAATCCGGCATCCTCTACCTCTCCCGGCCAATCAAAGTGTGGCTACGAATCTAACGCCTCGTCGCAAGCCAATAGCAGCTACGGCAGCTGTAAGGAGGAAGAATCGGAGAATAATAGTATCGATGAACAGGTGCAAAGTGCCATCAACAGTATTTTGAATCTTCAACAACAGAATAGTTTGGATTTGGATAGTATACTGTCATGACGTCGCGTTGTATAGTCGGGGATGAGGTGGAGAGGTTAGGTTTAATTAATTTTTTTTTTTGAGTAAATCTAGTTTGTTATGAGGCTCTAAGAAAATTTGGTTTGTAGGCTTCGTTTATCCAAATAATAATATTGTGTGCTACGGAATCTTTGAAATATCTGAAAAATGTATGCCAACTTTAGTGATATAATTTACCTCTTTTATTATTGGAGACCGAACACTAAGTACCAAATTAATTAGAGCCGATAACGATAAAAATGGTGATCTAAAAAACCATGGTAGGTGGTGACAGGTATTATTATCAAATTATTTTGAAATTTTCCTTTCGCCAAAATTGCATATATGTAGTGCAAAATATTGCAAATTTGCATTGAAGTTGAATTATTATGAGGAAGCCTGAAAATTGAAGTTAAGTCGATGCGTGTTTTGGATACCAATGCATTTGAAAAATATTAATTTTATTGTTTTTTGTTTCAAAATACAAGAATAATTCTCCATTACATATTTTCTGGCAGCTATTGTTATCTGAGATTATTTGGTTAATTTTTTTAAATCCTGTTTTTATTGGAAATGTAAAACATTAGTGGTTATTTAACAACAAAATGCATTGGTTCAAATGTGATATTTCCATTGTGACATTATTATTGGTGTAAATATTTTTTTTTTATTCCTACAATTCTTAACTAGTTTAGTATTTATTTATTATTTTTATTAATTTAATTTTGTTTGTATATTTGGTTTTTTTTGATTAGCTAATAATTTAAATACTCCTAAATGTAGATCTTAAGTAGCAATGAAAAATTATTGGCCTAAAGGCGCCACCTACCATGCCGAAAAATCATTATAAATGATGATGGTTGAAATATTTTGTTCATAGTGCACAATGTTTTAAAATGTACAAAAATAAAATGGCTAAAAATAATCGTAAGATAAACTTATGTCAATCTAAACAAAAAAAGTAGTGCTATGTAAGTCTATTAAAAAAATTTAAAAAAATTTCATAGGAACAGATACAGTTTTTGTAGCGGATTTTTTTTTTTTGTGTGATTTATTATTATTTTCAAATGTGCACCTGAATAGATAAATTTATGCACAAAGAGTAACTTAGCTTGAGCTCTGGCATGTCTTGACGACTAGCCCAAGAAATTTATGGGTTTTTCAAAAAATTTTGTGAGGGCAGGCTGATGTTTTCAGGGCTGATTGGAGACTGTGTCCTGAGTATTGAGCCAAAAAAATCACACTCGAATGCCTTGTGCATTCGGCCCTATTGGCCTTTTTCTTATTTATTTTTTTTTCAGCAAAATTACCTTAACAAAACTTGTAGATAATTACATTCTGATCAACTTTGCATCATGCCTTTTTTTGCTAGCTATTTTAGTTTAGGCGTTGCGGCCATTTTATTGCTCCAGAATTCGCAAAAAAATTAAATAGCAAACCTGCAGATTATTGTAACTTTAATAAAATTACTGGTAATGTACTTCATTACGTTATCGGTTTCAGTCCAGGAAATCATACATTACATCACTAATCCGGTGAAATCATTTTCCCGGAGTGAAAGCGTGAAATCGAAATGATGTTTTTTTTTTTGACAATACTGGGACCTGTTACCTGTCTGAAAAGTGACAAAATGTTTTTTTCTGCATTTGACAAGAAATGTCATAATTTTTGACCAGTTGACAGGTCGCAAAACTCAATATTCTGGTATTTCAATTTTGTTTCAATAGTTGCTAAGGAATCAATGAATAACAATACGGGAAAGACGAACTGGGAAAGTGATTCTCGTACTGCTGAATAATTGGAACTAAAAAACAAACATTTAACAGGTATTTAACCGATCGCAGAAAAAATAGTATGTGTATTTCGGTGGAAAAGCACATTCTCGGCCTTCGGTGTTTGCCGGCCTCGGCTACGCCTCGCCCGTCAACTTACACCGTCGGCCGAGAATGTGTCTCTTTTCCACCTAAATACACAATATACTATTTGTGTATTAAGAGCGCAAAGTGGTACTTTGCCGATCGAAAGATATTGTTGATATTGGCAAATGCATACTTGATTTTTTTTACAATCGCATTTGATAAAAAATAGTTCAGGTTCAAAGAAACCAGTAGTAAAAGCAAGCGCTTTCACTACTTTGCCCCTCTAGAGCGACAAAGTGAAGGATTTTGACGTAGTTTGACGCTCTAAAGCGGCAAAGTGGAGGTCATCAGGAAATGTCTACTTTGTGAGCACAAATCTAATCGACAAAGTCTACTTTCTAGGCAGATTGTAGAAAAATAGCTATTGTGCAACCGTCCGCGAAAACGCCACATTTTACCTGCAAAATGTGTCAAATCCTTAGAAACGCTATGCATGCCACAATGTCCACCAGGTCAAATAAAATTTTTCAAATGCCTAAAAGGCCGTACAAGCGAAAGAAATAAAGTTACAATAAAATATCATCAAGCAAAGTAATAGAGAATTTTATTAGGTATAATAATCTGCAGGTTTGCTATTTAATTTTTTTGCGAATTTTGAAGCACTAAAATGGCCGCAGCGCCTAAAGTAAAATAGCTAGCAAAAAAAGTCATCAGGCAAAGTTGATCAGAATGTAATTACCTACAAGTTTTGTAAAGGTCATTTTGTCGAAAAAAAAAAATAAATAAGAAAAAGGCCAATAGGGCCGAACGCACAAGGCTTTCGAGTGTGATTTTTTGGCTCAATACTCAAGACACACTCCCCAATCAGCCCTGGAAAAATCAGCCTACTCTCGCAAAAATTTTGGCGGCCCAGGTAAATTTCTTGGGCTAGACAGTCAAATAAATACATTTCCCCACAAACTCAAAAAAACGAAATTAGACTGTACAGATGTAAACGTCTTCAATTAATTTTTTTTTTTGCTCATGCTAGATTACTCTCTCTGTAATTCTATATTAAATTGGAACTTGGCACTATGCTACAAGATTATTTATTTTTTTGTGTTTTGGGTCGTTTTTGGTAGTACATTATTATTCAGTACCATCTCAATTTTTAAAAATCGCCACCATTTTATTTGATCTCAATTACCTACTAAAAGAATATCTAGAAAATTTAATCAGCAATAACATTTCTATGTATGGTCGTTTTTCAATAATTCTACAATTCGAATCTCAACAACTCGAGGGCCAGTTTAAGTTTAAGAATGAAAAAAAAATGGGCATAAAAAAATTATAGCAATAAAATTTTGTTTTAATAGAATAATAATAATTGAAAACGGCCATCACAATTTTAATATACATATATATTTTTTCTGGTGCTTTCAATGTAATAATTTAATCATAAATAAAGTAAAATAGATCTATTTTTGGTAAAACTTTAAATATGGCTTAAGTAAATTATTAATTAGCACATAATTCATCCATATTTTTAGTATTACCGCCCTCATTATTATTACATATTTTCTTTCGAGTAATTTAGGTCTGTTCCAGCAAGAATTCATCTTGAGATTAGATTCTTGTTGAAACAAACATATGTTCGCATTGTGTTCAAGTAATTTTTGTCCCAGGAATTAATTCTGTACATATTAAACCATAGCTTGGATGTAAAAAAAAGCTGAATTTTTATTGTAAATATTTTTTTTTTTTAATTATGTGTACTTAGAATGGTTATTTCTTTTTATTTTATAAGTTTTTTTTTTAATTATTAAGACTGATCTTTATGAAATTTTGGTTCCTAAACAGGGGAAGTATTTCAAAATAAAAATTGATTGTTTAAAAAAAAAACTACAGCATTGTTTTTTGGTTTTATTTTAATTTATTTTTGGCAACAATATAAAATTTATGCTAATCTAATTATTACTAAAACATTATCACACACAAACTTGTAAAAAACAATTTTAAGTAATATCTACTAACAACTATGTAGTTACTAATCTACAAGAACAATCACAAAATTTAATTTTTTTAGGGGCTCAGCCTGTAAAAGTAAAATATTATCTTTTGCATAATAGAGTTATACAAAGAAAAGATGAGAAATGAAGTCCCTAATGAAGAAAAATAATGCCACATTTGATGAAATTAGAATCAAACTTCTACATGTCAAAATAAATGTTACATCAAGTAAACTTTTACATCAGGAAAAATTTCTTATTTTATTTGTTAAGTTATAAGCTGTACTCATTGTCCTATGGCAAATCGAACAATAGGTACATTTACTTATATGTTTTTTTTTTATCTTAGAAAATTTCCATTAACTAAAACACTGCTAACCAAGACGATGGTTCTATGTAATTATTTGCCATGGGAGATTCTTTTCTAATTACAATGTTAGTTAATGTAAAACTTCCAGTCACACTCAGGGTATCATTTTATAGAATAATGTGCCATGAATTTCTCAAAAAGAAAGTGACAGCACACGGCGCATGCTTCGAATCCATGAACGCCACCTTAAGAAAAATTATGGCATTAAAATATAGAATATGTTTTTCAATCAATATCACGCTTTGTTGATATCACTGGAAGATTGGCTGCGTAATTCTGAGTCTGAGCTAAAAAATGAACAGTAACTTGAGTATTCTAGATCTCTATAATAAAGCATAATAAAAAGAAGGATGTGTCAATAGGAACTTGATTGTTTTCTATGTCAGTTATAGGCCAGCAGGTAATTAATAAAATAAAAGGAAAGTATTCCAAAGGTATTGATATTTTGGCATGTCGTTTGTGGATAGTCTGTGAAGTAGAATCCAAGTTTTCGACCTCGAGGACCCTGTGCTAACTTGGAGGGAAGTCGAAAGACCTAGAAATTTGTTCAGTTTTTTGCTCATAACTTCTAAACCATGCGTTTTTAGCGAAAAACACCTATTTATAAAGTTGAAGAAAATTAATTTTCCTTCAAATTAAACTGGTCAAAAATAGTAACCCAGATACTCTTCCTGCTCTTTTTTAGGAGAGAAACTAACACAGTTAGGAGGCCCTCCACAAATTGTTTAGAACATGATTGTCACGTTCATGCTTTTGAACATTCAGTCAGCAAGGGGCAAGGCCGATGAATTGTTTGTCTTTCTGGAAACAAAAAAACTCCCTCATCTCGTCTTTCTTAAGGAATATTGGCTTAAGGAAGGAGAACCTTTCGATGTCCCTAATTATTACGTTTTATCTAAGTTTTGTCGAACAACCTTCAAAAATGGGTGATAATCTGAGAAATTACTTGAATTTTTGAACCATTATATCTCAGTAACTATTGGATCAAATACTTTTGGCCAGTGAAATTTAAAGGAAATTTGAAGCTTTTCAACTTTGTTGAGAAATTATAAGCAAAAAACTGGAAAAGTCAGATAAATTAGAGGTTTTAGTTGCGGTTAACGTGGGAAATAATACAGGTGCAGAGTAGACATATATCGTCTGTGGGTGCACGTAAAAGAGATGAGGATAAAATATGTTTAACCCCCGGCTTGGTTTAAATTGTGGTCGGCCGGAAGAAATTTTTGACGAGTTGAGAATTTTTCAGTATCTTTGAACCACTGTATCTCGGTTACTATTGCGTTAAATAATACGTTTGACTAGTGAAATTTGAAGGAAATTTAATGTTTTTTATATTTCGGTGTGAAAAAAAAAACTGAAAGTCTGAAAATTTCGTGGTTTTTCGACTCCCCCCAAGCTAGCACAAGGTCCTCGAGGTCGAAAACTAAGATTTTACTCCACAGACTACAAATGACATACCAAAATATCATTATATTCGGAATAAAAGTACTTGCCTGCTGGACCATTACCAAAATGTAAAATTATAGGAGGCTCATTCAAAAACCATCAATTGCTATTGATACACACCACACACACCCAATAGAGAAAAAATTACTTACTGAAAAATTGAATTACAATATGTGCTGTTAGTAAACATACGTTTTTTGTCCCATATTTGATCTGTTACTCGTTTTCATGCTGTAGAAGAAATTGAAGTTGTTAGTAAGACAAGTGAAAAGTTAACAGTAGCAAACATGCAACCAAAGACACAAATTTCAACGCAAAGATCATCAAAAGAAAAAATCTTCAATGCTATTACACTACTACCAGCTATAATCTAAACGTGTAAAACATAAAAAGCACATACCAATTTATAGACAGAAATTGCATTTTACGCCGATATTTCGCTGTAATCAGATACAAACACCAGATGATTAATATTAGGTACATCATACCAAAAATGGTTCAATGTTGCCAAAATCAACTTTTTCATAATAATTAATACCGAATAGTGACCAGATATCTCGAGAGAACATCCTTATTAGGGCATTTCCAGCTGAGTTAGATATTTTTAGTCAAATATGTATGAGTTTTTGATTGAAAGTTGGTTGCCTTGATTTTACTAGTCGGGCAATTAATTGAAATAAAAATAACTATTTACCTCATGTCGCCCAAGTCTTTTATCCAGTTTTACGAGGTGTCTGTTACACAATCTTTTCATATTGATCACGTTTTTCCCTAAATTTGGCAACAAAGAAAACATAACCAATGAACCATTTCCACGAAAAATTCTTACCTCGAATAACTTATCGGGTTTACACCCAAATTTGCGTCAACAGGTCCCACCACATAATTATTTACAAAGTCATAACGCAGCAAACGTGTGCCTCCCATTGAGACAGTCATGTGAATCACTAAATATATACAAAATAATACATAACAGACACCCAACATTGCTATTAGCGTATATGAAAACCAATGAAGATCAAATTCCATTACAGTTGTTATCACTGTGAAAATATTGATGCAGATTACTGTGAGACCGAGCGTTGTGGCCATAATTTTGTTACCCCTAGAACAAATGTATTAAATTCATATAAACGTCAAAAATAGATATACTTACAATCCGTTAACAAATTCGCCCATTAAGTGTGGATTACTAGTAAAAGCAATACAAGGAATAGCAGCAAATGGCAATTGAATACTCATAACGGCATTCAGAATATCATTCAAGTTGGTCAAGTCTCCAATATTACTGAAAAAAGCCAACAAAAAGGTAGGTACAATGGCAATTGTTCTAGTGAAAAGTACTCGTTTCCAGCGAGCCCATTGAAGGTTGAGGAAACCTTCCATTGCGAACTGGCCAGCATAAGTTCCTGTGTAAAAATTTCAAGTTAATCATAGATAGTAGGTATAATAATTATTCTTACCTGTCATTGTAGAACTTTGTCCGGCGGCCAGAATCCCAACAGCCCACACGTACATTGCTACAATACCGTAAGTACATCCCAAGAAAATTCCCCCTTTATAAAGATCAGCGTCGACAAACTTATTGGCATCTTCGCCAGTATCAGGAAATATTGAAGCGTTTATTGATGGATATTTCAAGCATGCTTTATGCTAAAAAAAAAAAAGGGAATATGAAAAAATATTTAACACAGAGGTTGTAGGTAACCAATTATAAAAAAATTTTGTACTCCTTATAAACTAATAGATTTTTAAAATACACAAATAGTAATGGATAATTTTCAATTACTTACAATGTCAGCATTAGTTTGTTCGAACAATCCATGAGCAAATACTGCCACTACAAATACATTGATGACAAAACTGACAAATAAGGCTACACAAGCCTCGACGAAAAAATAAAGATTGGCATCTCGTACTTTTTCTGGTTTCGCTCTATCGATATCTCGGGATTTCACTAGGGCCGAGTGAAGGTAGAGATTATGAGGCATTATCACAGCACCTATAAATAAATTTCTTATATTATAAAATCCGAAACTATTGAGAAAAACTTACCAATAATTCCAACAGCCTGCAAAAGTGCCCTCTTATCACAGCCGCTGCACCAAGGTATAAACATACCCTCTATTACTCCTACACCATCAGGTTTGGAATTGATATACTCATAACCAAAAGTAACTCCCATAACGGTTATCAATAGGCCAAAGAAAGACTCTAACTTTCTTAGACCATATTTGTCAAACATAAGAAAAGTGAAAGTATCTACTATTGTTATTAGAACACCACCATAAATTGGGATTCTGAAAAATTTAATTGTATAAGCTAAGTTCCTTATTATCTAAGTAAGATGTAGGGCAACAGGAGTTCAGTCAACAGGCATTTTTGTAAGTTTTGTCAATAAAGTAGGTACCGGAAAATAAATAAATATTATTAATAATTGTATGACCTTGCCCAAATGAGCAACAAAGTATCTTTACCTAATTATTATTGTTATACGCATGATAATAAAATATTTTTATAATTTTAAAGAAGTTTATGACAATTTCAAGGAAATTCCACAAAGAACAATTGATAGTTTAAAAAAAAAATCAATAATTTCATTGCTTTAATTTCAAAATAAATAAATGCAACATCTAAACCCAAATAGAATGCATCCTTGAGAGATAAAATCTATGTTATTAAAGCCACTTAAAATGAAATTATTCCTAAAAATTTTTCCCACAATGCCTCTCAATTGCCTATCAGTTACGTTTCATGAATAAGATGAATTTTTAATTGTAATTTGTTATTGTATTCATACTTACTTTGTACCAGATAATAAATAAATAGCTATAGCAGTACCAATTACTTCTTGCATATCTGATCCAATAATTGCAACTTCAATCATCAACCATAAAATTAGTCTAGGAACTTTTTTGTATTGCCTATAACACATTTCTGCTAAATGCAACCCTGTAACGACACCTGAAGAAATACATAGTGAATTAATTAAACAATAAAATTGAAAAGTGTTTACCCAATCTTGCAGATAACCGCTGCATCAACAACCCCAAAATTGTAGCGGACAATAACATCCATAATAATTTATACTGTGCCACAGTACCGGATTGTAAATCACTTTCAATATTTCCAGGATCCAAATACGCTATGGACATTAGAAAACCTGGGCCTGTAAATGCCCATAGTTTCCTGAAACTAAATCCATCCTAAAATCATACAAGTCAAACACAAAATAAATAATTTTGGTTGCATCTTACATGTGTTGTTTCAGGTATGCGAATCCTTTCATCAGCAAAATACGTTTGCGTTCCAGATAGTAGAGTGGATTCAGTCGGTGCAGTTCCAATAGGTTCGGATAAATTTGAGCTACTTCCGCTTCCGTTGTAGGCTGAATTTACGTTCCCATTTTCGTTCGGACTGTAGGACTTTTTTGTCATCTTAAACAAATTATTCAATGCAAACTCTTGTGCAGACTTGATAATAGTGTCTGCGTTACCTTGATTTTTCAAAAATAAAAATTGACCCTATTAGATAAGATTTTAATTTGTTTTTAATTTGAAGGAGTTATCTTTATTCAAATAAGGTGCTCTTTGAGAAAGCAAATATTTGATCGGTATTGTGGGAAAGTTTCCAATCTTAAAAGTTTGATTGTTTTTCAAGTAGTTGCAGACTTAAAAGGATCAAACTATTTCAAATGATTACCAGGATGATAAGACACAACAAATTAAGTTTTTTTTATGAATAATTATTCTGAAGACCCTAAGAAATGAATGGAGAAATCAAATTATATTTGGGTATTTATTGATAAAGGTTAATAAATGTTTGATCTAGATTAACATCAGATTAGAAAAGGGTTTGGGTTAGAGACAATTATTATAATCGAATAAAGGATAGCTTAACTCTATACTTCCCTCACCGTAACTAGTAATTTCAGAGGAAAAAGGATTTTTATAGCTTGTTGACACTCTTCCACAAGGATAAGAATCGCTCAAAATTTCAGCTTTCTATGTGCTGAATATTTAATCCAAAAATGCTATTATAACAGTAGACTTTAATATACCGACAAAGGAAAATTATAAACGAACCAAAGCAAAAATCTTGAACAAACAAAATTTATTTTGAGTGTAAAAAATAAAGTCATGAAATTTATTACAAATACTTGTTCAAATATAAGACAGTTTAATAAAACTACCATAGTTATGATGTACCCATATCCGATCGGATGAAAAACCCAAGGTTGCTTATTTGTGAGTATTTTACTAGTCGTGGTATATTATTCGTTATTCGTGATAGTACTAAATAAGGCAAAAAAATTCAGATCTGATAATTTATTGAAACCTTTGGTCCTTTAATTTTACGGACTGTAGCACTCAATGGACTTTTGAGTGAGCAATTTGGGCAAACACATATAATTTTAATAGGTAGGTATTTAAAGGTACGAAATGCCCTAATATTGATATTTTGAAGGGAAAATCTCTATAAAATAACAAACCACTTGCAATTTTTGGTTTGATAAGCAGTATAATCAAATGTGGCGAGTTTGTAGAAGTGATGTGAATCATGTAGACAATTTGCAGCCTTTGACCTCAAAGGCCATTTATTGCAATTTGACAAAAATAACAACAAATCAACATGTAATGAGTAATAAGAACACTGTGGAGATTTATTATTGTAAATAACTGTATATAGGTTCAAATACCCTCGCAAATACCAATGTATTTACACTGATTCTGAGTCACTGATGAATAAATAAATTGATAAAATTCTTGTTTGAATTTGGGTGTGAAACTACTTATTGCTGGTAAAAGTATGTCTATTTGTCAGCAATTTATTTAAAGTGCTTAAGAAAACAATAATCTGCTTACGCCACGAAAATCCACTATAATGGGTATGTGATGTGGATTTTTCTATCACACATTTTTTGTTTTGTAACGACCGACATGTAAATCATGTTATCATGTAATTTGTTCAATAGTAGGCGGTAAAACCAATGAAGAAGATTTCCCTGATACTGCAATTATTCTTCTCTACTTTAAAGTTCTTAGTTTTAGTTTTATCAATCTCTCTGTGTATGGAGGGCATCGTAGTTCTACTGGTATTTTTGTAACTCATCTTTGTATCTCCTCTAGAAATTCTATATTTTGGACATAAAAGGGATTCCATACTTAGAAAGTGTATTCAAGTTTTGGTCGTATGTAAGTTTTATACAGTTTGCCTATCATTTCTATCAAGCGGTTTTTAAATGCTTGTTTATTGAGGTATACAAAAGAATTTGCTGTTTGGCATTTCAGGTCTGAAGTTATCATGTTATCATTGTAATGTCAAATTGTTTAGTTCATATTCTTCATTTGAATTGTTTGGACCGATTCTTAAGATTTTATATTTAAACTCATTCAACTTCATTCCCCAATCTGTAGACCATTATTTAATAGTTTCTAGGTCATTCCTTAGCGGCCCTGCATATACTAGCAGATTTATATACAGCTCTCCATCATCTGCGAAGTTTTTCATTTTGGATCCAATGAGAATGACAAAATTAAACAAATATGATGTGATGTGAAAAGCAAAGGGCCTATGACCGAACTCTGGAAAACTCCGCTACTAACAAGATTTTAATTTGACAGCATTCCATTTACTGTTACTTGATAAAACTCCACTCACTCCAAAGTGTTTCAACTTTCCTAGAAGTAGATTAGGTGGGACTTTGTCAAATGCCTTTTCATAATTCAGATAGATCACATCTGTGAGTTGAGAAATATCCTCGGAATTATCACGTCTATCAAGTTAGCAATACCACATGCACGCCGGAAAATGGCGTTAAGTGATTAATATGTCGCTTTTTTGTCGTAAATTTGTCGTGCAAAAAAAAAAATTGTCGCGTTTTTTTTTTCTTAAATACGATATCAAGTTAGCACTACCAGGGTATTATCTACATAGTAATACCAGTACATAATATCTGATGCATATAATAAGAACCTACAATTGGTACTTACATAAAAAAATAATGATAATTGTTTTGGCAATTTTTGCCGCTTGAATAATGATCATTCTCAAAATCAGGTAAGCTACTTCTAGTTGAGCAAGTTTGGTATTGGGCTTTGATCATTTGACTCTAAATGTTTTCAATAACTTCCTCTTTAAATGATTACCATTTTTCACCAATTGAATTGCGTTTCACTGAGATCCAGGACAACAATTCGTGGTTTGATTATTTCTTTTTGGTAATTGGTGTCCCCTGGGGAAGCCGTCCACCATAATAGGTTAGGATCCCATTTGTTGCACGATTATACTATTTAAGGTAAGTGTAGCAGTGGGGCACTACCGAATGCCGGCGAGAAATGGTTGAATTATGATTTGCTGTTGGATGTCAGCTGCACAATGTGATTCCAAGTGGATTAAGCCTACTGGGTCATATAAGAATAGTCGAATGCTAAAGAACTTTGCCAGGAGAACCTTGGGATTTAGATTTCTGAAAACTTTGAAAGGTCATAACTTTTTTTCTATTATAGATAGAAAGTTGAAATTTCCAGCGATTCTTATCCTAATGTAGGAATATCGGGTGACGTTGGTAGTGCTAACTTGATATCAAGCTAGAGCAAAAAAAAGTGTGACAATATTTTTTTTGCACAACAAAAAAGCGACATATTAATCACTTAATGTAATTTTCCAGTGTGCATGTGGTATTGCCAAGGGGCTTTTCACCTACCAAAATTTGTACACTGATTTCCATTTTTCCTAACATTTCACGGTATTTCCATGTATTTCCGAGTATTTCTAAGTAGTATTTCCAAATATACCCTGGTATTTCTAAGTATTTCCGAGTACATATTTCTTAGTATTTGTAAGTATTTCCAAGTATTTCTAAGTATTTCCAAGTATTTCCAGGTATTTCCAAGTATTCTCTTGATATTTAGAAGTTTTACCTACTAGCTAATTTAATTTTAAAAATAGGCTAAATGTCACTTTGTCACCATTGCATTGATTTGACAAGATATACTGAAAGTCGAGCTGAAAGTAGAGGAAACACTAAATACCTCTAGGTAGGTACCAACAAAACTTGGGAAGGGTTCATAATGCCAAAAAAAAAAGCTTATTCTCAATCGCTCTACTATCTTCTTTTAAAGGCCATTCAAAATTGTCTAAGGCCCAGTTGTACAATCTTGGTTCAAAACAGAGTTCAGCTGAACTCGACTGGTACTTGAAATGCATTGCTGTCAAAAATGATAGAATTTGATTAATAGTTGACAGCAATGTATTTTAAATGGGAAAGCTCAAGTACCAGTCGAGTTCAGTTGAACTTTGTTTTGAACCGAGATGGTACAACTGGGCCTTAGTTTCTTTTTAAATATTTCATGTTACAGGATTTTTTAGTCATTCTCAAAATTCTGCTTACATACCAATCTTCATCAAAATAGGCAGCGTAGTATTTTTCTTTATCCAGCAAGATCTTATCAATATTATTCTCACTTTCTTCTTCTAAAAATTCTTCACTGGAGGTGTCAGTATTTAAAGAAAAGTTCTCAGAATCAGAACAGAACACGATGATGAAGTAGAGAAGCTACTCGAAGAGCTATAACTTTTCAATGTGAGTAATTCTTTTGCCAGGAATTTTAATATTTTTTTGCTCTTACAAGATTTAATTAAAGATCCACCAGAAACTCTAGAGTAAGAGAAAAATCTTTTTCTGGATTTTGACTTTTTGTGGTTTCCCATCCCTCAAACTCTATAAATGCGGTCAGTAGAAAGTCTGCTGTTATTACCATTAAAAAAAACCAACATAATGCAGACTTTCTTACCAATTGACTCCGACCATCATTTAATTCAATGGTAATACGAGATTCTTTATTATCACTGGAACGAAATAATTTCACTACGCACCAAAATCTCTGTGCCAATCGGCTTCGTGTTTCCACCACTTTGATTCGACTCGACTCCCTTTGATCCGGTCGGCTATGCCGATTTCGGTGAAAAAGCGCCTTGAAGCCCTACATTTTATTAAATTCATGGTATGTTTCATGCTCTTAAGTCTCATCTAGCACATTGTGACCTCAAATTTATTACAGAAACAGAATTTTATTTAAAATTGCCATTTGGAAATGGTGTCAGGACTTATTTTGAACCGCTCTATCCTGAAATTTTCAGCATTTGTAGCTGTTATCAAGCTCTAAATGGCCTGTAATTCACAATATTCCCAGATTTATAATTTTTTATCCCATTCTGACGTTTAAAAATGACAAAATTGAACGCATAACAATAAAGGTAAGTAGACATTTATCACCTCAGTAATTTAAAGATTTTTTAACTCACTCTTAGCATTTTAAGTTATTCTGCTCAATTAAAACTCGGACACTTCAGTGATTTGAAATATTTTTAACTCGCTCTTGGCATTTTTCCTTGTTCTTTATTTTTTGAATTTCCATAAAATGGGATAAAATTTTGTATACATCACGCGAGTTAAAATGTTTATTCATTCGAAGAAAATTAACTTTTTTCTCATGAATAAACATTCATTTAACTCACTTGGTGTATAAGTTATTTATCACATTTTGACGTTTAAAAATGACATTATTGAACGCATAACAATAAAGGTAAGTAGACGTTTATCACCTCAGTGATTTAAAAAGATTTTAACTTACTCTCAGCATTTTAAGTCATTCTGCCCAAATAAACATCTGACACCTCGGTGATTTAATAGTTATTTATACACCAAATGAGTTAAATGAATTTTTATTCATGAGAAGAAAGTTTAACCCACGAGCCCTAGCGAGTGGGTTAATTTTCTTCGAATGAATAAATATTTTAACTCACATGATGTATACTAGTTATTTATACACCAAGTGAGTTAAATGAATGTTTATTCATGAGAAGAAAGTTTAACCCACGAGCCCTAGCGAGTGGGTTAATTTTCTTCGAATGAATAAACATTTTAACTCACGTGATGTATACAAAATTTTATCCCATTTTGATGGACATTTAAAAAATTAAGTACTCAATAAGAATCAAATTATAAAAAAAATTCATTCAGCGAGCGCTAATGTCTAATACCTACTGGAACTGGTAGTTGCTAGGGTATAGCTAGTTGTTTGTTTGTATTTGTAGCAGATTTTTGTACTGGCAGAGTGACTTAAAAGACCGAGAGTGAGTTAAAAATATTTTAAGTCACTCAGGTGATAAACGTCTACTTACCTTTGTTATTATGCGTTCAATAATGTCATTTTTAAACATCAAAATGGGATAAAAAATTTTATCCCATTTTGTGAAAATTTAAAAAATAATGTTCAAGAAAAAATTCCGAGAGTGAGTTAAAAATATTTTAAATCACTGAGGTATCAGATTTTTAGTTGGGCAGAGTGACTTAAAATGCCGAGAGTGAGTTAAAATCTTTTTAAATCACTGAGATGATAAATGTCTACTTACCTTTATTGTTATGCGTTCAATAATGTCATTTTTAAACGTCAAAATGGTATAAAATATTTTTAAAGGGGGTGTGCACCAAAAATTAAAGTTTTAGTGTAAAAAAATCTAAGAATAACTGTTCAAACATCGTTATTATTCTACGATAAACCATTGATGAGATATACCGCTTTAAAGTGTGTGTGACGTCACGAGAGCTTCGTCCAGCCGCGATCCGCATTGTTAATTTGATTGTTCCCAGCACGCGTGAGCTTTTGTTTAGATTATTGCAGGTGACATAGCAAAAACATATGTAAATTCAATTTACTTCACTTTCTCTTGCATTGCTCGAGCTTTTGTGACGTCATAGGGTGAGATGCGGTACCTTCATAGAGCCATATCTTCGATATTATTTGTCATAAAGGGGTGCGGTTTCCACTGTTATTCTTAGATTTTTTTTCTCTTTTTTTTGAGATGAAGTTGTTTTTTTGGCGCACACCCCCCTTAACTCACTCTCAACATTTTTCCTTGTGTACATACTTTATTTTTTAAATTTACACAAAATGGGATAAAATTTTGTATACATCACGTGAGTTAAAATTTTTATTCATGAGAAGAAAGTTTAACCCACGAGCTTTAGCAAGTGGGTTAATTTTCTTCGAATGATTAAATTTTTTTTTATTTAACTCACTTGGTGTATAAATAACTATAAGCGAATTATTGAGGTTGAAGTTTTTGGCAAAATTCAGACTAAGTCAACTGAGGCTCAATTGCTCAGAAACCATTTGAGCTATCAAACTCAATTTTGCACGGATTTATAGAGAATTTAATGCTCTTTCCAATGTATTTTAATTTGCTCAAAATTTAATAAAGATGTGGGCAATTATTGCTCATGACCATGTCAAGATTTTGAAAATGTTTCAGAGCCAAACATTTTTGTTTCCGCTTCAAAACACAATTGAAAACATGGATTAGGTATATCCTATTCACAATCTGTAGTCCAAAGGTACAGGTAAAATTATCACCTTTCCCTATCAAATAGCATTTAAAGGTGATGAATTTAACCTGTACCTTTGGACTACAGATTGTGAATATACAATATATAGCAACTTTATTTTTACAGATAAGTTGCTACTTGAGTGAGTAAGCAATAGATACCTATATACAATGAAAATTCAGTGCATTGGATAGTATGAATATAAATAAACAATCTGTGAAATAGACACACAAACCCAAAGCTTGAGTTATTTACTACTTACCGATTCCATGATTTAAAAATGTTTTATTTCACAATCAGAATTGAGAAACTTAAATTGGACTTTTGTACTTATAAAGAATCCAACTACTCATAACCACTACAGGTTTTTGCTTAATTTACCATTTTTAACTAATTTTAATGAAATAATTACGTAAATCTTTTAATTACTGGTATATTGGCATTGGCGCAATAAAAGTGAAACAGGGCAGAAGCACAATTTGAAAAAAAAGGTTAAAATGAAAATGTGATTTATTGTTATTTTTTTGATAGATCAGCAGCTGATGTTGACAATCAAACATCATTTCTAAAGTAGCGATTTCTATTTGTTACACTGCTGGGCCCTGGGTGCGCTCCGTGCAGTTTTTATGCATTCGAAAGCGTCTACTGGTCTACTGTACTGGTACTTCAATTTGGCAATTTAATTTAAGTACTACTTAACTATGTTAAAAATGGACTGAAAATTTGAGTCTCACAAAGTTAAACAGTAGTTTCCAGAAGCACTTAAACCCTCGCTCAAACCATTTTAAGCATGAACATAGGTAGGTACTTACATATTATGTACTTTTAAGTACTTATTTGGTATATCTAGTGCCGGTACTTTTGCTCTCATTTAACAGCCGTTAAAAATAATCAGGGCTTAGAATGTGCTCTAACCACATCATACCTATAGACCTTGGCCTATGCAAAACTTTGACAACGTATCAAATTCGTTAATCGAGAGCAAAAGTATCGGCCCCTAGTGTATTTTCTAATGCCGGTTTTCCACCAAACCGACAAAACAAAAACAAAACTTAAACTCAGACAAAACTTCAACTTTTCCCAAACATTTTCAAGATTAGCGTGTTTTGCTCATTTGGAGTTTTGTTTTTCGGGTTAATTTCGAGTTTTAAAACATGTTTTAAAACAAAAACTCAACAGTCCGTTTGGTGGAAAACCGGCATAAGAAATAATGCTTGTATTAAGAAAAAACATTTAAAAAAACTAATAATGTATTGCAATGCAGGTTGAATTGCACTTCAACACTTAATTTTGTATGCAATTATTACTGCATTACTGTTCAAAATTCGACAAAGTAAGTTTATAAGTACCTCCTATGTACTTAAGTACCTAAGTAGTAAGTAGGTACTTAAACGCCTATGAGACGTACCCATAAATACTTTATACCTACTGAAAATAATAATGTACCTACCTACCTATACCGCTACATAGTATTTTTTCTTTACCTTAAGTAAAATAGGTACTCAATAATTGAAGTACTCACATTCGAAAAATATTGTACTTAATACTGTAAATAGTTATATATTTAAAATTTTGAATATATGTACTTAATACTTTAAGTAAAAGTACTGTAGCTGAGTACTTAACTCAGCTCTGCTATTCATGTACCTATGTTCACTTCTCAACACGTTATTGTTCCTGCCTTTTCTTTTAACTAGACACTTACCGTTTAATTGAACAAGGGTCTCGAGACCCTCACTGATCACCGCAAATTAATTTACAAACAAAACACGCAATAAATTACGGCTAATCTCTTGCCACTCGGATTCCTCAATCGCGACTAGTGAATACAATGAAAATTGCAGTTAATGAACGTTTTTGTTAGTCCCCACTTTTATCTGTGGTTTTTATTTTATCACCTCTGTGGCCTCTAGCAAATCTTTAAAAACATTGTGAAATGCTTGCCTACTTTGAGAAAATTATGTTTTCCAGCTATAGGCTATCGCATTGTAATTTTTAATTTTATTGTTTATTTTGTATGTTCAGAGGAACAATTAGATAATGTCTTTATAGACATTGCGGAAGTCTGTATAAATTAGGATTTTTGCGGCTACTAGTTTTATAAACAAAAATTCCTAAGCCATAAAAATAGTTAGGCTTCACAATAATTACTATAGTTACACAATAATTACTATAGTTAGAACCAATATATCCACAGATACCCATTTTTACAAAAATATAATGGGAATAAAATAAAATAAATGAAAATCTTTTAAAGGAAGTTGAACAAAATAGTTGTTTTCGACAAGAGCGGAAAGTAAGCAATATTCGGTCACACAATTGAAATAGCAGCTTTCCAATGGTACTTCACACAAATTATTTCCATAAATAAATTACATATTCCTAACCACTGTCGAACAATAAAATAAGGCAAATCAAATTTAACGCCTACATGCATAACAATTAACCAATGGTGAAAAGTATTTCCCCACAAATTGTATAGACTTTCAGTTATGGATTAAATAAAAACTTTTCAACCTTAATTTTTTATTGAAACGATTTATTATTTTAACAATAACAAAATTATGATTGAGTATGTAATACTTTTAAATATTGGGTTTGTTCAAACCTTTATGTGAAAACCGTTCAAGACTGGCTAAAGTTTAACAAATATAGTACTAGTTTGCTGACCAATAATTCAATTATGCTGTTTTGCCCAATTTGATGTTGGCAAGAACGCATTTTGAGAGAGATGATATTTCAAGAAAATGCTTGTTTTAATAGTTTTCAGTATCAGAGAGAAAAAAGCAAGTATGTACGTGTTGAAACAGAGTTTAACAGGAGTGTCCTGACTCCTGCTGGACAAATCAGAGACGCTCATTCTGTCTCATCCTAGTCACCAATTCAAATGTCTACCGATTTCTCCTGGTACATTTTAATAATCAAAAACAGAAACCCGTGATTTCATTTCTTTATGATTGTTTGAAGAATTATTAATCTATCAAATTACCTGACATTTCCTTATGAGTAGAAGCGAACTCAGACTATTTTGAGTCTTTCAGTTTTCATCAAAATTGGAACAAACCCATTTGTATAAAACTTAACTATATTTATAATTGAAAAATCCAATTCACTCACAGCATCTTTAGGCATTTTTATAAGTAGTAATAGTATTAATTTTAATTTCTCGCACTAGTGTGATTGGCCTTGTACCAGTCGACGCTTTCCTGAATGGCTTGCGAAAATGGAGTAAATTGAAAATCAGGCAAATATTTCCTAAGCTTCTGGTTACTAGCAGTTTTTTTAAACTGACCATCAGCTTTGGTAGTATCAAAAACTATTTTGCCTTGGAAATTGTATGCTTTTGCCAAGTCTTCTGCTACTTGCTTTATTGAAACTTCAGACTCTTCGTCAACTAAAAAACGGTTCAATGTATTTGCGATTTATTTTTTGCTGTAACATTTTTCTTACCTGATAAAACTATAGGATCAATTTCATTATACTCTCTTAGTACCCAAATAAATAATTTAGCCAAATCTAATGAGTATATAAATTGCCTCAATGGTTTTCCTGTACCCATTACAGTAAATGTATCACCTCCTAATAAATATATTTTCAAATATTTAACACAAAAACAAAATAAAAAACATCTTACCCAGATTAATAATGTCAAACAATTTTTTAATTAATCCAGGAATCACATGACTAGATTCTGGATTATAATTATCATGAGGCCCAAACACATTGCATGGAATCACAGAAGTGAAGGTGCAACCATGTTGCTCGTGATAAGCTTGGTTCATGATGTCAATCATTCTTTTGGCGTAGCTGTAGCCGAAGTTTGAAGGATGGGGAGGTCCGTTGTGGATCTTTACCAATTAATATTAATATGCCTTGTATTGAGGATAAATAAAAAATCTTACCATAGTTTCATCAATAGGATAAGCAGTTTTGTCTGGAAATATACAAGTTGATAGGCAAGAAACCACTTTTTTGACGCCTGTTTCATAGCTTATTTGTAGGACATTATCGTTCATGTGTAGATTTTTTCTCTGAAAGGTTACGAATGTGATCTATGCAAAACTTCTCGGTTATTGTTCTTACCAAAAAGTCTAAATTGTGGGACATATTGTGGAATAAGCCTCCTACCATGGCGGCTAAGTGAATAACGTGGGTAGGTTTGTGTTTTTGGAATAATTGTTTGGTGGCATTGAAATCACTGAAAATAATTAATCAATAATGAAAGTGAATAATTATTATACTTTCCTAGGGGTTAGTCTAAGTTCCTAATTTTGGACAACAGAGTTTTTGAAATTGAAACCATGCCGAAAGTGTGTAATTTTATGGAAAACTTTCCTACTTGATATAAAGTCATGTATTATTCAGAAATAGTTGATAGTGATGCTGATTGTACTGATGAACCTTGCAGGTCTCAACAACTAATAAATCCTGAAAAGATGCGCCTGAAGCAAAAATATTGTGAATATGCTTCGGTAACTATCAGTATTCAAACGATCCATTCCAGAGATCCTAATGAAAGTATGAATATGTTCAAGCAACTCAAACGATATCAAAATCACTAAATACCTTCTGAAACTCACCATAAACTAGACATTTTGCATTCTTTTTCTGGAAACTGTTTGAATGTCGCTTCCAAAGTTTGAGAAATATTTGTAAAAAACAATACTTTCATATTGTTTTTATATTTTCTAGGCTTATTTGAGAACAAATATCTACCCATTGGGTTAAGTTTTTTCCCTTGACATGATAGTGCTGCTAAATTTAAAATCTGATGTTTCACCTTTGGCTGAACATTCTGGACCTTATCATTTGAATATGGATGGACTTGGATTATTTATATAATTTTTTGTAGCGTCTGTAGCTTCTGAAAGCATTGACCTATCATATTAATTGATGAACTACCATTTTCTGGAAAAATATACCGTTTCAATCACATATTACTGATGTATCTCTTCCACATGCTAATTCAGCCATAATTTATTCAAGTCTTTATTGACTTTATTCAAGGCATTTAATTAGGTAGGTTATATGTAGACAAAATATAGAACAAAATATCACTTCAAGACCCGGATTATTCATCTTCAGATAACCTTTCTACTTGCTGGTAACTATCTGCAAGATAAATCCACCAATCTATAATCCTATTGGTTGGCGGATAACTGGCCAACCAATGAAACTACAGATAGTGTTTCTATCCCTTAAATTACATCACCTGACAGTTTATCAGAAGTTGAATAAACCGGCCCTAAAAATGATAGTAATTTCATTTACAATTTATGGATACATTTTATGTAAATTCATATGAGATAAGGACGGGTTAAAGGCAAAAAAATCCTAGTTTTATATCATCAAGAATGATAGGTACGTCTTGGTACTGGTAGATTATCAGTCCAAGATGTGATGTCTATTATCTACTTGAATTCGATTGTCTATAAGTTCTGAGTAGAAGCTGTTAATTAATATTTTTAGTTGGTATGAATGGTATATACATAAATAAGTATTACTTGACTTAAGTATTATTAGTGAAAAGTGCATTCGAGTGTTGGAAGTACATAATTATGTGGCAATATCGAGGGCAATATAAATATAAACTAATGACCACTGATTAAGATACTATAATTAGCCATTATTCCAAGGTCTATAAACCTAGCAGTCCCAAGGTGGAAAAAACTTCGGGAACTATATAATAATTGGGTGCTTTTTAAGTGCTAATTAGGGCCTCTATTTAAAAAGTAGGTGCTCCTTTAGTTTTTGAGAAAATCAAAAAAACTAGGGACTGTTAAGTTTATAAAAGCTTAGCAGTCCCCTATAGTAAAAAATATTTTTTCAAATTTTTTCTTTGTATCAGAATTAGGTGCTTTTTAGGTGCTCCTAAATAGTCCAAGAAAAAATAGAATTGATTAATTATTAACTGAGTTACAGATTTTTTTTTAATTATTAGGGGACTGCTGGCTTTACGTTTACTTGTTCGTGTGTCAGAATGGCAAAAAAACTTCGGAATCTATATAATAACTAGGTGCTTTTTAGGTGCTAATTAGAGCCTCGAATTAAAAATTAGGTGCTCCTCTAGTTTTGAGGAAAATCAAAAAAAAATAAGGTATTGCAAAGTTTATGAAAGCTAGTAGTCCCCTATAGTGAAAAATATTTTTCCAAAAAAACTTCGGGATCTATATAATAATTAGGTGCTTTTTAGGTGCTAATTAGGGCCTCTAATTGAAAATTAGGTGCTCCTCTAGTTTTTGAGAAAATCAAAAAAAAACTAAGGGATTGCTAAGTTTATGAAAGCTAGTAGTCCCCCAAGTAGTCCCCTATAATAGTGAAATATATTTTTCCAAAAAAAACTTTGGGATCTATATAATAATTAGGTGCTTTTTAGGTGCTAATTAGGGCCTCTAATTAAAAATTAGGTGCTCCTCTAGTTTTTGAGGAAATCAAAAAAAACTACGGGATTGCTAGGTTTATGAAAGCTAGTAGTCCCCTATAGTAAAAAATATTTTTCTAAAATTTTCTTTTGTATCAGAATTAGGTGCTTTTCAGGTGCTCCTTAATAGTCGAAGAAAAAATAGAATTGATTAATTATTAACTGAGTTACAGATTTTTTTAAAAATTATTAGGACACTACTGGCTTTACGTCTACTTGTTGGTGTGTCAGAATGGCAAAAAAACTTAGGGATTCATATAATAATTAAGTGATTTTTAGGTGCTAATTAGGGCCTCTGATTGAAAATTAGGTGCTCCTTTACTTTTTGAGAAAATCAAGAAAAACCTCGAGAAAAAGTAAGGGACTGCTAGGTTTATGAATGCTAGCAGTTCCCTAATAATTAAAAAAAAAATCTGTAACTCAGTTAATAATCAATCAATTCTATTTTTTCTTCTACTATTTAGGAGCACCTAAAAAGCACCTAATTCTGATACAAAAGAAAATTTTGGAAAAATATTTTTCACTATAGAGGACTACTAGATTTCATAAACCTAGCAATCCCTTTGTTCTTTTTTGATTTTCTCAAAAACTAGAGGAGCACCTAATTTTCAATTAGAGGCCCTGATTAGCACCTAAAAAGCACCTAATTATTATATAGTTCCCTTGATAGTTCCCGAAGTTTTTTTCCACCTTGGGACTGCTAGGTTTATAGACCTATTATTCCACGTATTCAAGTACCTATAATTTTGTTTTCTTACCATAAATCGGCATCCTTGCTGCAAACAAATATCCACTTCTCGTCTTCTCGACCTTCTTGTTCTACAATGGTTTGAATGGCTTTTCCCACTAAACCTGCGCCGCCAGTTACTAAAATTACTTTATTATTTTGCGACATATTCAATTGATTGCTCTGGATACTTAAAACTCAAGTTAAAACTGATTTCAATGGTAATTTTTTTAATTTTAAAAACTGCCAACATAAACAAGAATAAAGTGAGGTTAGAGTTGAGTTGTCAGTTTTGCGATGTTGCCATTTTGTTTTTTTGATAGATCAGAAGGCAGTAAGGAGATTTTTTATTTAAAATGTATTTTAAATAACTACTTTGTAGTTCATATCCTATATCATAATATTGGTAACAATTTAAATATGCACAAGAACTTAATTATGATAAGTCCAGATAAGATTCCAAATCATGAAAAATCAGTCGTCCGCCATTTTCATCCTTACACAATGATCGTGCGTCTTCCATATTTCCATGCCTTTCGATAAATTATTATTAACAGACCATAAAACTTCTAAAAAATGTAAATTATTTCGAGTAATTCGATTTTCCATTGCAATTTTTCCCCATTTACCCTTAAGCGTGGTTTGCACGGGATAGTAAAATGCGATAGAACTTCCTGAACTTCCCAGAGTAACTTGCGCGAGCGTTCACATGCAAATTGTAAATGCAATTTCTTTCAGCAAGTGCTCTCTCTCTAAACATAAACTTTAACAAGTGATTGTAACCGATATAGTAGCAATCAGTGTTTTGTACAGAAAATTAATGCACAAAAAATGTCTCGCTGTAGAAAAAAAGCTGCAGCTGCTTTTATTATTGCAATTTCACAAAAAGAGCGAAGAGAAGGACCTAAAAAAAGAATGAGTTAAAGAATAATGTATAGCAGAAGGCCTACTCTTGGTGCTTACGCGATGTTATTAGATGAATCGAGAAGTGAAGATCCAAATAAGTGAATCAATCAAACCAAGAGAATGATTAGCCCTATCCCTGTACATTTTTGATTTTAATTGCCATAACTCCGGATACCCTTCAACTTCAAAAATACTTATTAAATAAATTATTACTTGCTAGAGCACACTCCCAACTTGTTTAGACGTGCAAGCCATTTTTGCTGCAACCACTTCCCGCCAATTTGGCGACTTCCTGGGAGAGAACTGTCGGACACTGTTTACATTCAGCAAATTCTTTGGAAGTACTCTCAGACATAAACTTGCGATAGTTTAAGTTGCCCATGTAAACTATGCTTTAGCTTAGAGGCCTGTTTGCTTGTTGTTCCAAACCAAAAGAAATCCTTGCAATAATGTATGCACGGTAAGATGAATTGCCCAAGCCAAAAACACAAATAATAATAATGAATGTATGAGGTATCCAAGAATATATATTCCTATAATAAAATACATAATTCTTATAATATTACATTCCAATTGCCAGTCTATAAAACAAATCTAACAGGTGATTAAAAATAACAACCCTGCCAAAATCAATAATTATTGTCTTATTTAACAACTTCTAAAACTATACTATCTACCTACTTGAAATAGCAAAATAAAAATAATGGCGATAAACTTGGATGAAGTTAAGTTTATTTCAAACATAAGTACTAAAATAATAATTATATACACATTGAATTATATTTTACATAGTTAAGAAATTGAATTAAATTAAGAATAATGAATATTTAACATATTATTCTTATTATATAAAATAAAACTACATAATGTATTCAAAATAAGAATATACAGCAAGGATGTATGATGAAACAATTAGTCTGGTCACACATTTTTGCTGACAATTTAATCGAATATAATTTCATTATTGGTTCTTGAGCTGCATCTTCAAAAAGGTTAATAAATAAATAAATAAAATAAAAACCAAGAACTCCTAAAATATGTGAGAACACTCAGACTATAGATATGTAAATGTTATACCAGAATTAAGGCACTCTTACTCAAACTAAACTAGGAGGAAACAAGCAAAAATTCTAAATAAAAAAATAGTTTTTTATTAGGTCAAAATATTAAGATATGTGGCTCTTGTAATAATATGTTTATTTTTATGAAAGGAAATATGAAACAGAGGAAAGAGTAGAGGTGATATGAGCATACTTTGTCTACTAACAACTTTGACAGTATTATGATAAGATCCTAGATCCCTAGCTAAATCCTTTTAAATCTTTTTTCAACAAAAATATTAATTTTATTTAGCTTGTTTGTGGATTAGATTGTTTAAAAGTTCAATGAATTAATAAAACTTTTCAAGTCATCCCCAAACACACAAAAAAAATATTGTTTGCGACATGACTGATTCTACCTATGACTGTTCAAATCCAGCTCAAATTTAGCAAAACAAATATTAAGGCCAATTTTATTATTTTTTATCAATATTTTTGTTTTTTGTCCTTGTATGTGTTTGAGCTTATATCAGCTACCTATTGAAATATGTAATTTGCATACATATGTGTTCATTCTATGTATGTATCTTTAATCTTTAGTTAAATATTTTGATATTCTATGTCCACATTAATTTATTTATTATTATTAGCTATATGTTTTAGCAGCATTTTCTAGTAATCTCAAGTATAATCCACAAAACCTTACTGAAAATAATAACCCTCTCATTTGTCAACTCTTACATTTATATTATTGTTTCTTATTTTCTATGATATTATTGCCTTAAAATCACAATAGGTAAGTCTTTTTCATTTTCAGGCTCGATATGTAAAACCAGGTACACACTAAATCAATTTGTTTCATTTTCATTTGTGAGATTTAAAGCCTCCTGACTTCTGTATGGCGGTGGAGGTTCCACCACCAATCTGTTATTTTGAAGAACATCAACATATGAAGGTGGTTGGTCATAGATACTACTTGCATTTATCACATTAAATCTAAATATAAAGCAAGTAAAAATCAACAATAAATGAGTAAAAATTACAAAATTCTTACCTGGAAGGATTAAAAAGTAATGGATCATTAACATCAGACGAATCAATAATAATATTCCTAACAATATTGCCATTACGTGGCGTTCTGGATCCCCTGTAAGTGTAAATTCCACCGCAAGGAATTACATTAATATTAGTTTGATTGCGTAGTGCAATGTTTTCACAAACACGCGGTTGCTGTTGTTGTTGCTGCTGCAGAGCTGCCTTTTTGGCAAATATTACTACTTTAGAAATTATTAAAAGCAATAAGATTACTGAGAATAAAATGCTGACAACACAAACAAGAATAAACAAATATCTGGCTGTATGGTGGCTTTGAGAAATTGTTGGAAAGCCTAATTCCATTTCTTCATAAGCTAAAATATAAAGTTTTTTTACATACATATTATACACCTGAAACTAAACTACATACAATCTGATAGCCCCTGACAACAAGTAGGTCTATTTGTAACAGTGCAATTAGGGTCATGGTGTATGTCGCAGCACCAAGCTGATGGTATGCATCTACCATCTTCACATGGAACTTTGTCTAAAATGAACAAATGTGTATTTGGGAATGTGAAAGTTTAATTTCAATACCTTTACATGGATCTCCATTACATTTTTTTATACTTTCATCTGAGCCATCTTTACAATCTGGCTTACCGTCGCATACATAATGTTGATTAATACATATTCCATTGGACATACACTGAAATAAATAGACATTCTTGTATATTTAGCCAAATAAAGGTCTCATCAAGACATTCACAATTTTGATAAAAGACATAGGCAAAACTTGATTCCGGGGTGAGGCTGAAGAGGTGTCAGGATGGGCTTGGTTACTGGGAAATCAAAATGTTTAATGTGCTAGCAGAATATGGGTATAAGGATAAGGAATGGAAGACCCACAGTAACAAATTTGGTAAAATATAAACATGATTTGGTAGATGCTGTGGGAGGTGGTAGACAGGTTAACTCGGCCAGCACAGATTTTAGTAGAGCATACAATAGGATCAATATTTCTACTGATAACATGTGTATAGCTTCCAGGGATCTGAATTAGGTACCATCTCACGAATAAGCTTTTCTCAGGGTTTCACTGCTCAATACAAAGAGATGAGACAATGTTTTGAACGCATTTATGTCTACTAATGCATTATAGGTATTCAGTACTAATTTTAGTAAAGTGCTTACCTGAAACATATGCTCATTACAATAAATAGTCTCCCTAAAAGATTTCACCTCCTTCCTTATATCATTCCTAACAAACACCTCCACTGGCTTATGCAAATTAAACTTCTCGCTAACACAAACATATTTTCCTCTATCGTCTACATTTAAAGATTTGAATTTTTTCTCAGACTTGTTGATTTCGTTAATATCATTAGCATCTGAAGACAAAACGCCTGGAAATCTCTCGTCTCGTATCCACGATAAATGATCGTCAAATTGGCTCTCGTTGGCCGAAGATACCAACTCGCATACCAGGGAAAATGTCGTGCCTACGTTTTCTTCAACATTAGATACCACTGGGTAGAGTCTTTCATCGGTTTTTTTGATAATTTGTAAATGTAGTTTACCTACAATAATATAATATTTTTATGGAAACTAGCCAAAGTATAATTGAATTGTGTAGGTGAATATTTAGGTACCTTACCTATTGTTATGTGGACATTAACTAAGCCTAAAATAATGAAATAAAATAAATTATAAACCATTTTAAACAAGTTTTTAACATATTTTTATAACCAAAATAAGGAAAAAGCCATTTTTTTGCTGCCAAATATAAATAAAAACGAAGTCAACAAGTCAAGTCAACTATCACGTTGACAGTCAACGTCAATTTTCACTCAAAGGTGCTTTCCAGTGACCCATTTGAGTTACTCCTGAGCAGCTCAGGAGTGCTCCACAATTGCTTTGCGCGTTCCAGTGCTTAGAGTGTCGTACACTTGAGCTACTCATTTCTGTTATCCCCTGCCCCCTCGTGCACCAACCCATTTGTCAGTGTTTCATGCACCTGAAATCCGAAATGGTGGGGGTTAAGACGAGAGCGTTCCAGTGCTGCTTATATCGAACAGTTAAAGAGCGTCACGCTTCAGGAGCATGATACTCTAACAATTTAGGCACTGGAAAGCGGTTCAAGTCAAGTCTTCTTTTTTTTTTAATAAGATCAATATAAACTACACATTACTACTACAGGATAGCTCATCCTCATAAGGCCTGTAGAGATCCAATCTCAAGCCCTCACCACGTCAAAGAACCAGTGATGACGTAGGAAGCGTGTCGTTTTTCGCCTTGACGTAGGGTTTTTGCACCACAGGTTATGATACTGCCGGCTTTTGCTTTATGCATATGTTGTTTACTACAATAATTAACTGAACAACTCTTTCTTAAATCTCGTTTGCATCTTCCACTTTGCCTATTATGTAAACAACATTAAATAATATTTTTCATTTTTCATCATAAATGTATATTCTAAACTACGATCGCTGGCGCAAACAGCTGACGACTTAGTTGATGACGTCGTCAACGGTGCTATACAATTGGGCCGCGATTACCAAAAACGAGGCCGATAAGCAATTCTGCTGTGTAGTAGTATGTATTAAGGCCGGGACACACCTATCGTGCATTCTTCCGATCCGACTCGGATCATACAATCGGACGAGTGACAGAAGGGAATAATACTACACTTCTAACTGCGTAGTTCACGCCTTTCCGGCACGTGCGCATCCCTGCTCCCACCCGACTCCGATCCTGAATCCGATCATGGTCCGAGCGTGCAATCTATTCGTTTTCCAGCTGCGAGACTACATGTCGCTTGGTGTTTGTTCAAGTTTTTTGTGGTGTCTTGTTATAGGTGGGAAAAGTCTAGAAAACTCTCCTTTTGCAAATCTTCTTTTCCAAGCAGCATGCACCCAAAATCTGCGTTTTCCGCTATTCTCCATAAAAGATCTTTGATGCTCTTCATCTAAGTACCTATTTCTTCTAAACAACCATGACTGAATCGCAGTTGTTAAAATTTTTGAACATTTCGCACACAAGAGCTTCTGCGATATTGTTTTAATCAAAAATGGCGAGTGTAACGAGCCTGGACCGGAAGTCGGAAAGAACTCGGAAACGAGTTTTTTTTATGACATGTGTGATCACCCCGTTCCGATCCTGCACCGATCCGATTCTTGAGGAAAATAAGGATCGGAGTCGAATTGGGAAGGTGTTATGACAAGTGTGTTCCGGCCTTTACATGTGTGTTCACCCCTTTCCGATCCCGTACCGATCCGATTCTTGGGGCAACATTGGACTAGAGTCGGTTCAGATTGGTGTATTAGCCGCTTTCCAGTATAGGAGTGTGACGCCCGGAGCTACTCGGGACGTTGAGCTCCCGAGCTGTACGTACGCGTCAACCTGTCAGCTGTCACATCCGTGGGTGGCTATTTATTTATTTATTTCTTGTTATATCTCAAGATTGAACATTTTAAAAAATATAGTTTTGATTCTCTTTCATTTTTGATAAATAAAAAAACAAACTGCACAAACAAACAGTTATTTATTTTTAAAATTTGACATATTTGACACTAAGACAGGCGTCTCGCGCCATGATACTGGAACGGTACAAATTCAGTGCGTGGCGCCCCTGAGGTGCTCTAGAGCGCGCCAGAGCGCGCCAATGTGCATACTGAAAAGCGGCTATGATGACAAGTGTGTCCCGGCCTTTATCCTTGCCACGATAGCGGAAACTGCTTTTACCGCCTTTCGGGCCGGTTTATTTATTTCCTGATTATTTTTACTGTCAGGAGGTTTGCAATCTGACAGATAAAAACGCAATCTAGGCCCATTGCCTATTTGTCGGCCAGTTATCCACAGACCAATAGAATTATAGAACGGTGAAGTTATCTTGGAGATAGTTACCGGAAAGTTTATCTGAAGATGAATAACACGGGCGTTAAACGCTTGACTGTCGTTGCGTGCTGTAAAGTATCACTTTCCGCATTTGTTAGGTAAATAACTAGACATATTCTTTTTTCAAATAAATCTAATACTGGAGAACTACAAAAGGGTCACCAAACAGAACAACATATGAAAGACCCGAACGGATTCTGTATTATCTGTTCTGTTTTTTCATAATGTTGAATAGTGAATTTCATCGGTAAAAAAAATGTCGCAATGGTCCTGGTGGGGACTCGCACTCAGCCAGATCAGTTTAAAAATCATACACTGATGCAATTCCAAAATAAAAAGTTTATTCAAAAAATAAGTTATAGAAAATATCAAAAGCCCAAATTTCCTATCGAGCCGTCAAATGAACTCTAGGTACGGAATTGCATACTTAAAAGATCACTGGAACTGATGGGACTAGGAGCAGAAAGTGTCGTACCCAAAAAACTGCTCGACTTAGGTCAATGGAATTCGCTATTAATTGTCAATTTCAATTCTCAAAGCCAGGTTGACACGGTCTAAGTGGACTTGGACTTGGATCAAGTACCCTTGGCTTGGACGCTCGCGCGCCTCACTTGGACAATAGTCCTCGTCCAAGTCCAGTTGGAATTGGATCGTTCCTAACGTCCAATTAAGTAGGCTGGCTGGCAACTTACTTGGTCCAAGTTCTGACTTGTGTTAACTGGCTTAAAGCAGTTGATACTATTCAAGGATAATACACACTGCTATTACAGAGGATAGGGTATCCTCATAAGGCCGGTGTAGTTCAAATCTCAAGCTCCCCATTATGACAAAGCACCAATGATGACGTAGACAGCGTGTCGTTTCTCGCCTTGACGTAGGGTGTTTGCACCACAGGTTATGATTCCGCGGGCTTATGCCTCATTCTCACTTGCGCGAAATTCGCTCTTTTTTTGACATTGCTTCGACAATTTGACGTTTAATGCGTGTATCAAACGTCAAATTTTCAAAACAATGTCAAAAAAGAGCGAATTTCGCGCAAGTGAGAATTAAGCTTTATGCTTTAGCTTTATGCATACTTGGTTTCACTACATTAATTAACATTCAACAACGCTTTTTTAGATCCCGTTCACATCTTCCTCTTTGCCTAATATGTCAATCAAAATTAAATAATATTTTTCATCATAAATTTAATTAATTGACCTTTTGTTTGGACGCCATATTGCGGTGCGCGAACATAGCTGCCAACAGTAGAAAAAAAAGTTACTAGCGTTCTGTCAACTTGAAAATCCAAAGTTAGTGAATAAATTACATTTAAAATTTAAATTTGCCGCCTATTACGAATATTTTTGGAAAGAAAAGCCATCAATTTTAGCTTGTTTTGGGCAGAATAGAAATAATAAAATATCTAGTTGACAGCCCGCTAGTAGTTTTTGGTTTTCTTGTTTTGGCAACTATGTTCGCGCGACTTAGTTAAGGCTAGTACCTACTCATAACTGGGAAATTCGCTTTTTTTTGAAATTGCTTCGACAATTTGACGTTTGATTCACGCATAAAACGTCAAATTGTCGAAGCAATGTCAAAAAAGAGCAAATTTCGCAGTTATGAGTACTAGGCTGTCAAAAAAGAGCGAATTTCGCAGTTATGAGTACTAGGCTTTAGGTCGGAATTTATAGTCGTTTAGAGTTTAGAATGGACACTTGCTACTGTTGACAACTTATTCACGTCAATTGTAAACATTCAAGGCTTCTTCAAGGTCTGAGGAAACCTCAAGGAGTGTCTGTGAATTCGGCTCTTAATGACGTCGGCAATGGTGCTTCATCATATGACCGCGATTGACACGGTCCAAGTGCTTGGTCCGAGTGCACTTGGATGAGAACTTGGACCAAAGTAAGTTGGCAGCCAGCCTAATCTAATTTTTACTAAACTATTATAAATTAATTTGTTTCATTAAGTAAGAGCACGCAATGTAGTTTTAACACTTTTAAATTTTCTTTTAATTTCTTGATTGGTGACGCGTCTTCTTCACTTTTTAAATTTTTCACAACATTCGATTAAGCAGCGAAATTAGGATGGTCCGAGAAAAAAATTATTCAACTCTGTACTGTCTACTGACCACTATAGGTTTGTTCCTGTTTGTTCTCACATAAATCACAAACTACTCAGAGCGAATGAAATAAATGTAGTCAGAAAATAAGTTTTTGGCGATTTGCACCAATCAAAAATGCTCTGACTGATTTGTAGTTTCTGTGAGAGCGGACCTTATGAATGCAAAATTGTCTACTATTAATCTTCGGTAATTATATTGAATCTGCATGATTTCGATGACTAAATTCTATCGCTATTTCTAAGAAATATAATTATTTGTTCAATCGAAGATGTTGCAATTTCCTTGATTATTGGGGTCAACAGATGTCTAAAAAATAGTCACAAATATCAAAGGATGCCGAAACTCGTGCCGGCCATAAATAAGGTTTTTTAAGATGAATCTGTCACTTGGTCCTCACAATTTAATTTCTTAAGCCTTGCTTTCAATGTCTTGTCGGTACCTAATTTATGGATTCATCTTCAGGCAGGATGTCACAAGTGTGCTTATTATTTGAGAGTAGGGAATATGTCATTCCGCATCTCTTTTTTGTAGACCTAAAAAAATTTAATGGACTCGTCTCCAACATTCCAACAACCAATAACTATTTATTTATCCCCCGAAATTGCTTTTATTTATTGATAAAAATTAAGCTTCCTTTAGTATCTGCAATGAATAAAACAAGGGAAAACTGAAATTCATCATTTAATGTGCTGATATTTTTTTTACAAACTTACCACACCTAAAAGATTGATAAATATAACAGTCAACGTGCTAAGGCACTCTTATTAATCAAATAACAAAAAAAAAATTACATGTAGAAAACGTGAAAAAAACATCTGATATTTTTTAACAAATATTATCTCTAGTGCTTTTTAAGGTAACCAATAATTATTATATAATTAAAAATAAAGGCTTACTTTCAAAGAAAAACTTTTAATTGTATATTTATTTAGATTAGTTATTACTGACCAAAAAAGTTGTATGTCAGATATTTTTGCTATAAACAAACACCATCAAATAATAAGGTTTATTAAATTTAACTTACGACTTAAATAAATGTTAGTAGGACTAACCTATATCACACCCTGTAAAAAGCAAAGTTTTTCTATGATAATAAGAATAATTAATAATAGACCCTTCTATAAATTGAAATATTTACAAACAATGTTTTAGGTACAAAATATAAACTTTTATCTATATAATTTCATGTGTTGGAATGCATTGAGTTTTTTTTTTAAAGCACACACATAATTTACTGCAAGACAAGACACATTTCGGAATCAATAGGTAATTTGAAAAGCATTTTTCAAAAAAGTTAAATACACACAGTGACTTTCGTGTTTAGCAATAAAAAGATTTTAGCACAATGTGTTACATTTAATACTGTAAAAAATTCACAAAACTGCTCAGTTTCTTTGACAACACTGAATATGTTTTTCAAATTACAAAATTTCAGTAGCACAAATATACAATACACTCTCAAAAATATTTTATTTCATAATTATTAACGTTTTTTTGATATTTAAACACCATCACACGTTATACGTATATTAATTTTTTTATGATAAATTAATTTTTCTTTTTTTAAATTGCGCTTAGGTATATTCAAAATTGCCAACATAATTAATTTTCATATTTAATAAATAATTTTTATATTTAAAATTGTACTATTATTTTAATGATTAATAATTTTCCCTAATTATTAATGATTATATTATGTGTTTAGGAACATTTTTTTTTTATACATTTTAAAGATTGTTTTTTTTTTGTTTGGAAACATTTAGGTGCTTTTTTAGAGATTACACTAAAAATAATTAAAACAAATGTACAATTGAATAGGAATCTTCAATAATAATTTTAAAATTTTTGTCAAATTGTTAAAAATAAATATAAACGTTTGATATTGATGAAATTTAGCATTAATCTCTAAAAATGGCTCTCTAAATGTGATTACTGTTGGAAAACAAAAGGGAGAAATCATTATTGATCTCGTGCCACTTCGCCTACAATTTTTTTCCAAAAGTTCATTCATACGAGATCAATAATATTAGAAAAACGAAATCCACTACTTTGGTTACTACTGCTGACTTTCGCCTCAGTTATAACAAAAATATGGCCAAAAATTGCATTACACACAATCCAAAACAAATAAATAACAAAAAAAAAAACTATTATAAACTACATTAACTGTAACAAAAACTATTTGGTCCCTAAATCACATTATCTGCCTCACAGTTACATTGTATTTTTTCTTGACTGTTTCCATATCGTCCAAGATATTGACCAATTGGACTATCGGTTCTTTGGTCTGCTTACACTTTATATTTCTTTTCAGTATAATTTTCGGTAAGCCATCTTCGCCGAGGCGATTAAACACTGAATAGGATTTTTTTGGACCGTCACTCACCGAGCCAGAATCTTCGTCGTCTTCGTCACTAACTGTTTTCCTTTTCGAGTTTACTTTTTTTGAATGTTCCAGAGTGGAAAAATGTTGCAATGAACTCGAACCAGCTTCAGGACTTTTTATGTTAGTGAAACTCTCTACGCTTAGACTCTTGCTCGGTGATGTCCAGTTTTTTGGATGCTGCATAGCTTTTTTGTAAGATACAATTTTTTTAATTTCTTCTATTTCGCTTTGCGACATTTTTTCATTATTTAAAAATCTTGAAACTAAACTATTACTTTTAGGAGATCGATTCAAAGGCTTACTTTTAGGTATTTGAATATTTAGTGAACTCAACTGGGAATCTACTTTATCTTTATACTCTTGCAGTTTTTTATCTTTGGGATTTTCTATAAGGGTTAATTCGTTAACATCTATAACAGGTTTTTTGGAACTATTATTTTTAATAAGGCCACTGAAATCTTCAATAAGGCATTCTTCAGGCTCAGGAGGTGGCGGTGGGGAATGTGAATCTTCCCAATCAGACGAGTGAATTAGAAAAGATGTTTTAATATCACTCAGTGATTTTTCTTTAATAATATTTTCAAAGGTATTGTTATTAGATTCTGTAGAATCACTTCTTTCATATCCTGTGGAATCTAGTGAAACTAATTTAGGCCTCTTTTCTGGTTGAATTTCCGTACATGAGGCCTTACGTTTACGGCTTACATAATCAGCTAAGCTAATTTTCTTTTTGCTTGCACCGCCATTGTTTTCTTCAATTAATTCTGAAACACTTGGGGCAAGGACTTGATTTGTAAATGTTTTGGATCTTCTTCGTGGATCTTTCGGATGCATTTTTTGAATTTTAGGCTCTACTACAATTGGTGTTGGAGCAGTGTTTTCGCTGAAGCTTACTCTTTTTTTAGGTTGAATTTTTTCTAGAATAGGTATTGGTGATTTGGTTGGAACGTCTACTTTCGGACTTGTTTCTACTTTAGGAGGTTTCTGTTCTTCATTGACTTTTACAGGCTCCTCATTTTTAGTCATTTTTTTATAAAATTTGTTTTTCGGCTGGTCTTCTTTTTTATTAGAACTACTGTTACATCCAATACAACAGGTGTTTGGTTTTTCCAATTTCTTCAGTTGTCGAAGTTTCTCACTTGAATTGGTTTTAATTTTAGTTGCGTGTTCTTTAGCATCTGCTTTTGTTTTTGCTTCTAGTAGCTTTTTTAATTTTTTTAGTTTTCTTGCTTTTAACAGCTCCTTAAAGTCAACATATTCTTCTTCATCATTTTTCGAAGGATCTTTGTTCTTTTCTTTTTCAAAATTTTTCACTTCTTTGAAATGTTCCAGTTCTATAACTAGTTTTGGAACTGACTTTTTTGTTTCAATATCACTAAGGGATTTTTGTCTTAGTTCTTCTTTGCTTGTTTGTTTCTTTTTAGTTTCTTGTCTCCTACCTTCTGTAGGCAAAGATTTTTCATTTAAATTGACAACTTCACTATGTTCTTTACGCTTCTTCTTTACTTCTAAATTCATTTCTATTTTCAAAGATTTCTGCCTTAATTCTTCTTTGCGCTTTCTTCTCTCCTTCAACAATTTAAATTTTTCCTTTTGCTCATTCTTAGCTTGTACTTTTTCATTTAATCTTTTTGACTTTTTTAATCCTGATCTCTTACTTATGCGTTGTTTATCTTTATTTGAAGAAGACACAATATCATGTTGCACCTGTAGATCAGACTCGTATGATTTTTTAGCAGCTTTAGTTGCTACTGTAAATTCACAAATATTATCAAAAAAATCATTATCTGTACTATATTTTCTCATTTGCAGTATATTTTTTGTAGTACAATCTTCAATATTAGTAGAAGTTGGAGATAAAATTTGTATTTCTGATTTGGCAACTTTAACAATTTCTCCCTTGTTTTCCAATGCATCAACAATAACAGCTTGAGTAATAGGTTCTTCGACAAGAATTTCGTATGTAGTTGTGATAGGTCCTAAAGGAATTTGTGGACTTCCAATATCCCTTTCTTCAATTATTCCTATACCTTCCAATGGATCCGTAACAATAACTTCATGAGCTGGCGGATCAGCTATAAAAACTTCATCTTCTAAAGGAAAATCCACTAAAGTTTCATGATCTCGGTCATTTATAGAAAAGTCAAAAACTTCATTGGTGTTTTGGACAACAGTTGCGACTTCTAATTCTATAACTTCTTCAGAAAAAACTGAGGCTACAAGTGGGTCCTCTTGAATTTGAATATCCTCTATCACATTACATTCTGCAATCTCTTCAAGAGAACATTGTTCAGATTCAGTTTCTTTGGGATCTAAAGAATCACTAGAAGCTCTATTATCGTTCAATTCTACAACTTCATCTTTATTTTCTGCAGACTTTGATTCAGTTTCGATATCTTCACTTCTAGATACTATTACTTCCACCTCTTCATTAATGTTCTTGGATTTACTTTCATGAAATTCTTCAGACAAGCTTTTATCGTCTTCTTGTGTTTTTTGGTTGTAGTCTTCTGGTACAGCATCATTGATTAAATTTGCTTTGCTTGCAGACTCAGTTTTCAACTCATCTTCTGCCAATATTTCAGACATTTCATTCTTAACTTCTGATTTTGTGGTTTCAGTATCTAGAACTATTTCCTCACATAAATTCTCGACTTTCAATTCTGTAGATTCATTATGCAGAATAGGTTCACTAGCAAGACAATTATTCTCTTCTCTTGTTTCAAAAGAAGTTTTTTCTATAGATAAATCTTCAGCTTTGGATTCTTCAATATTTTCTTCATTTGCAATAGGGCCATTATCATTTATTTCCTCATGTTTCTCTCCAGTAGCAATTTCTTCTTTTGATTGTTCATTAGAAGTATCATCATCGTCTGAAGTTGTTGATTTTATTGAATCTGGGACACTATTACTGGAACTATTATAAACTTCAAGTGCATATCTAGTATCTTGAACAATTTCTGATTGTTCTGGTTCTTCAGTTAATAAAGCCTTTGCCGACAAATCTTCTACAGAAGCTTCATTGTCTTTTATAGATGATTTGTCAGTATCTTCAACATTTTCTTGGTATGTGACGGAAGATTCAAAATCAAAATGCATAGTGACTTCTTCAATTGGGGATGCTTGATCAGAAGCCTCATTGAAAATTTCTACAACAGCTAATGATTCGTCTACATCCATATTTTGACATGAATCACCTACATTCTCTTCAACAAGTTTTTTTTCACTCTCATTCTGATCAACTGAAGGTTCGTTAAAATTATTTGAAAGGTCTCCAGACTGATTTGATTCCTCAGTTGCCAAAGACACTTCATAATTATCATTAACATCAACGGTTGCCACAGAATTGGATAAAGGAGTCACATTTATAACTTTTCGGCCATTGACAATATTTACAGTGATTTCCATCAATTCTCCAGCTAACTCAAGCAATGTCGTTGTGCCTTCTACTCGTATAATATTGGAACTTGTTGAAACTGCAGATTTTTCCATATTTTTCAAATTCGTCTTCATCAAATGGAAATGACACTGCATTTGTTCCAAAGATGAAAATGCAATTTCCCTTTCAATAAAGACCTTTAATTCATTCCCCAATTCATCTTCAGTTTTTATGTCTATTTCCATTGTTGTAGACGTTTCCATTTGTTCAATATTGGATCTTCTTAAATCTTGAGGTTTTTGCATATTTCTTGCCTTCAATAATGCAAACTGTTCCGAAGATGAAAATGCAATTTCTCTTTTAATAAAGTCTTCTAATTCATCCGGTTCTTTGTCTTTTCTCAATGTTGACGAAATATTGCATCCAGGTTGTTCCTCACTTTCTACTTTTATTTTCATTAAATGTGAATGGCATTGAAGCTGTTCTAACGATGAAAATGCAATTTCCCTTTGAAGAAATTTCTTTAATAAATCATTCAAATGATCTCTTGACTCATCCATTTGTGGAAGACTGGATCTTTTTGGATTTTTCATTTTCATCCGTATTAAATGAAAACGGCATCGTAACTGTTCCAACGATGAATATGCGATTTCCCTTTCAATAAATTCCTTAATTGCTTGGTGACTGCAACTAATGGTATCAGAATTTCGTCTGGAATTATTGCCAATGTTGTGCATGATGTCGTCTACCGAGAATATTCTTTTTCTGCGATCAGGCTCAGATGGGCAATCTTTCTCTGGTTCAAATTTATCTTCACTATTTGCTGCAGAGTCAGCTCTAATTTCCGGAGCAACAATGACAGTATTGAAATTTGGTGCAGTAGATTTAAAATTTTCTGCTTCCTCTTCTTCATTCATATCACCTTTATTTTCCTCGTGGTTTACTACAGCAGCTTCAGCAAAAAAGTCGATAATAGGCATACTCTTATTACCATCTGGTGATATATCAATTGACGAAGACAAATCATCAGGGCTAATATTAGAATCTTTAGCATTTTCAGTCTCGGGTGGTTCACTAAAACCAAGATTATCTAAATGGTCCAAGTTGATTGGTGAGCAATTTTTATCCACTAATTCTTTGGTAATACTATTATTATTATCTACTAAAGGCATATTTTGGTCTGGATTTGATTTATCATTTATAGAAGAAGCAATTATAGTGTTTTGATGGATTACCACACGCCGATTAGAATCTTCTGGATTAAACGCCGTACCATCACTAGGTCTCAATTGTTTGTTGGCCAACATACAGTCTGATTTAGAGGTTTCCATTATTTGTAGATTAACTACACGGTCTTGGTTGTCACTAGGATTGTCTTTGTTGGATTCTATTATTCGGACTATGGCTGTGTTATCAACTAGACCGTTTTTTAATAAGTTTTGATAGTTTTCGGATGTCTGTAAAAGGGTCAAATATGAACCAATAATTATTCAAAACTAAATGTTGTCTTACCATATGAAATCCGCCATTATCAGACGTAACAATTGGAATACCGTTATTTTCAAAATATTGTAGATCATTTGGATTGATCATGTAAACAGTACCAGGAGCATCGTCTCTTAATTTGTCTCGTAAATTTGGGTCCATTGGATTGATTTCAGGCAAAGGCTCTTCGTCAGCCCAATTTTCAATGAATTTTTTCAAACTGTCTGAAGGAGATACAGTATTATTTTGCATTTCCTGCATTTCTTGACCTAATGGAGTATAATCATTGTTAAAGTTTTTGGTGAAATAGACATAATAGACTCACCAGTCATTTGATGATGTCCCTGAATATACTGGCCAGGTCTACAACCTTGCGCATAATAATCTTGAGGCATACGTCTATGCTGATAATGTTGAGCATATTCAGGCGCTCTAGCATACTGTGGATAGTTTGAGCCGGAAGGTATTTTTTGATGCATGGTTTGGTGATAGTTTATGTGGGGCGAATGCATGGTTTCTGGATAGGGTCGTCTGCTAGGTGATAGGCTCCTTTCCATTGGCGCGTATCGGGCTCCCACGGGACCCATTTGAGCAGATCTGGGATAACTGCAGGAAGAAGATGCATAGTTGGAATAGGTATGCGGTGAGTTCATTGGATAGTTGGGGTTGGGAGCGTATGGGTTTCCTTGGTGCATGGCTCCTGGAGAATAAAGAAAACATGTATCATATCTTTCAAGATAATTCTTAAGGGAGAAAAAGTGAAAGTTGAAACATTTTTTTTTGTCAAAAAGTTCGTATTTATTAAGACCATTCATCAATCAATTCTTACCAGGATAATAACGATGATTCTGTTGTGGATACATCCCCCTCTGATCCATCGGAGGAAAACCTTGGGGATTCTGCAAATGGTGGTCGCTCATTATCGATCTGGCCATGGAAGGATGAATTTTACTCAATTTATCCAAAAACGGATTATCGGCCGGAGCGGAATTGTACTTTCTCATATTCTGAGCCATCATGGGAGCGTTGTATTTGGTCTGCACGGCATGATGGGCCATTTGCTGGTACTGATGTTGGTCTTTGGGGAAGAAATGAGATTCGGTTGGTTTGAATCCAGATGGGTAGCTCTGAAAACATGTTCTTTTTCAGTACAAGGAATATATTATATCGGAGTGAACGCGATAAAAGTAAATGGGATTTCTCATGAGTTTTCCAAATTTATAGATAACAACAGTATACTAATATTCACAGTACTTTGCTTATAATGAAGGCCTTTAATCCAAAATATATATGCTCAAATTCAGTTAGAGTCATGAAAAAGTGATTGGGGGATTGCAGTTTATTTGGCTTCAAGCCTCAAATTTCCAATCCCTCAATGTTCTTAGCAGTCGTGTAACTCGCACGAAATACGTTTAACTCGTACTGATACTGACAATCTTGACAATCTGTGAATTCGTTGAGAAATCATGAAACTTTAATCTGGACAATGTCCTGAAGAAGAAATTGCAGAATGTGATAACGAAAATATATCAACTATTGGAAATCTAGAAGATATTCAAGGGAGCATACTCAGAACCTCAGTTTTTTTTTTCTGGAGAATTGGAAGATTTTCAATGAATCTTCTTGTCAATTATCAATAATTAAAGAAGAAAGTCTCTATGCATTCTGATTTTGAATGTTCCGTTACATACTAAGAAGAAAGAAGTTCTGAAGATGTTGAAGATAGGTACTAAAAGTGTGGAAGTTCCTATTGACAAATCACCTATAAAAGACAACAAAGCTTCCGTAGAAGATCTGTTGACAAAGACTTTATTAGCTGAAGTCTGAAGAGTTGAATGAAAAACCAGACAGTGGGGGCTCATCAGAGGAGGTAGGGGAGGCTAAACCTCCCCCAAAAAATTGAAAATTCAATCTCAATTTGTGAATGTGAATCTGGGATACTTAGTAATACCGGCCCGAAGGGCCGGAGTAATACGAGCCCGAAGGGCTAGAGTAATATGAGCCCGAAGGGCTAGAGTTATACGCGAGCCCGAAGGGCCGGAATTATACGCGTGCCCGAAGGGCTAGAGTTAATTTAATCACGGGACTCAGTCTATAATTCTATTGGTCAGCGGATAATTTAGAGCCAATTAAAAACCGGGAGTATTTAAAATGCGATTTTTAGCGTCCGATCAAAGAGTCGGAAATATTCAAAAACTTTAGTTTTATCAAATTCACTTTGGAATGTTGGTTTTCTTAGGATTTTTACTTTTTTCAGAAAACGGTGGTTTTTGCAAACATATACTACTTTATCTTTGTCTTTGTCTTACTCACTATAATCAATAAGGAAACCTTGTAATGTCATTTTCATTGAAATTAAACTAAAAACAAGTTTCCTATAATTAATTTCGGGAATTTTAATTATTATAATCATTATTAATTAATTATTAAATTGAACTTTAAACAAAAAACCCTTTTAAAATGTTATTTTTGTTTTCCGAAATGAGATGTGGCAACGTTGCTTTTAGTTGGCCATTTTGAAGTGACGCCTTGTGATTTTTAGCCAGTTTTTTTCTCGAATTTTCGACTTTTCCAGGGTTTTTTAATGGAAAAAAGGGATTTAACTTACGAGGCTTTGAATTTTCTTCATTTTCTAGCAAAAATGTTCAGTTTTAAAATGACATAAATAACAAAATCCCATTTAAAATGCTTTTTTTAGAAGTTCTGATGTGGCAACACCGCTTGTGCCAACTTCAAGTAGGTTTTGTAATAAATGTCATCTGCCAGTTTTGACAGTCGGCTATTTTTAATTGAAGTGTTTACATTTCTATCCAGTTTTTCCTCGAATTTTCTGCTTTTCCAGGCCGTTTTCAGTCAAGAAAACCGATTTGAAATACGAGGCTTTAAATTTCCTACATTTTGTGCTAAATATTCCCAGTTTTCCAATAGGGTAAGTAGCAAAAACTCAAATTTCATTAAGTAGGCTTTGGAATGTCATTTTTAGAGGTTTTTCTTTGGATTTTCCGCTTCTCTGATCGGAAAACCCGTTTTAAAGTACGAGGCTTTGAGTTTTCTTCATTTTCTGCTAAAAATTTCCAATTTCCCAAGGGGGTAATTAATAAAAACTCAAGTTTCATCAAGTAGGCTTTGGAATGTCCCTTTCAGAGGTTTTTCTTTGGATTTTCCGCTTTTCCAGGGCTTTTCTGGTCGGAAAAACCGATTTAAAGTACGAGGCTTTGAGTTTTCTTCATTTTTTGGTAAAAATTTATAGTTTTAAATGCCATAATTAGCAAAATCCCATTTAAAATGCTTTTGATGTGGCAACATCGCTTGTGGCTAATTTCAATCAAGGAAGCATTTTTGACAGTCGGCCATTTTCAATTGACTTGTTTACATTTTTATTCAGTTTTTCTTCGAATTTCCACTTTTCCGGGGCTTTTTCAGTCGGGAAAACTGATTTAAAGTACGAGGCTTTAAATTTTCTTCATTTTCCACCAAAAATTTCCAGTGTTTTAACGGGGTAAGTGAGAAAAGCTTTAGTTTTATCAAGTAGATTTTGGAATGTCATTTTCGTTGGTTTTTTTTTTTTTGGAATTTTTATTTAAGGTATTTGGGGTCCGGAGATCGTTTTCTACCACTTTTTTTCTCGAAATTCGCAAAATAAAAAAAATAAAAACTTTTTTGACGTTGACAGCTGTCAATTTTTTTTGACACAAATCGATAGTTGGCGTCGTGAAACTACCTTGTACCGGGGTTTGATTTTCGTAGTTTTTATAGTAGAGCGGGGAAAAAGTCAAACATGTGTCAAATTTGACAAGTGACATCTGTCGATATTGCCAAAGAGTCGTGCGACAAAAGTTTTATCCGAACGAACCCGTTCATTGTTAATTGATTTTAATACTCCAGCCCTTTGGGCCGTAATCTTTGAAACAAAAAGACGTCATTTTGTATCGATTGTCAAAAAAACCCAAGGTTTGAAATTTCAATTTTTTGACGTTTGTTGTATCATAAGCAGTGTTGCCATATGTTTTTTTTTTCAAATCTCGAGCTCGAAGGGCCGAGATTATAGGTTATTTTAAAGCCAATCAAGAGCCGGGAATAATCAAAATTCGAATCCCCAAACCAATCAGGAGCCGGGAAAATTCAAAAATTCGAATTCCAAACCCGACTGGAAATTGAATTTTTTGTAGGTACCAACTGTTGCTACATGTTGGTATATAAATCTCACCCTAAAACCCACTAAAAAACGACCTTGACGAGATTGACAGCTGTCAAAATTTGAATGGGCATATAGATTTAGCCTCGGCGAATACGTAGGAAGTACCAATTTTTTTTTAACATAATATGTTAAAAAAGACGTTCGGCGTTGCCAGGCGGTTGATTTTTGACATATATCGATAAAACTTCTTATTTTAGGGTTTTCGGAGCCTGGGGATCATTTTCTGACATTTGTTTTTTGAAAAAAAGAAAAGGTAAAAATTTTTGACATTGACAGTTGTCAAAATAAAATAAAAAACCCACATGGACATATAGATTTAGCCTCGGCGAATACGTAGAAAGTATCCAAACAGGGCCAATTTTTTGACGTTTGTTGTATTATAAGCAGTGTGTAATTTGTGAATTATTATTTTAATTAGAAATCAGGAATAAAAAATTGAGATTGAATTTTCAATTTTTTGGGGAAGGCTAGGCTTAGCCTCCCATGCCTCCTCTGACGCCACTGTGAAAATTTGTATACAAGTTGATCAAAATCCCAGAAAAACTCGTAAAATTACTCAAAATCACTGAAAATCTTTAAAATCTTTTAGCCTCCTCACTTGAAACAGTCACGAGCCGCCACTGAAACCAGAACCATTAGAAATTGTTCAAAATGCTGAATATACACTTGAAATTTATAACAGTTCCAGTGATAGTGTCACAGATTCAATAAAAGCAACAACTTATTCAGATGATGAACATTATGATACTTCTTATGAACAATCAAAAACAGAAATTGCTACTGAAGAAAAACACGAGGAAATCAATGATAATGGCGTTATTGCAGATGAAGAAGATATTGAACAATCCAGAGCTGAAGATTATTTATCTATGGAAAAAACCTTCCATAGAAACAGCAGAAGAAAATAATTGTCTCACTAGTAAACTTATTCTGAATTATGAATCTACAGAATTAAAAGTCGACAATCTATCTGAGGAAATAGTTCTAGATACTGAAAATGTTGAAGAAACCACAAAATCAGAAGTTGAGAATAAAATCTGGTATCAAATGGAAACTCACGAGACAATTATTTAGTCTGCAAGCGAAGTAAATACAATCGATGATGCTGGACTAGATGACTATAAAAAAATACACATAAAGATAAAAGCTCGACTCAAGAATTTCATAAAAGTAAATCAAAGAACATTAATAAAGATGTTGAAGGGAAGAATCAAAATCTGCAGAAAATAAAAATGAAAGTATAGGAGACATGTTAAAAAAGGTCGAAGAATTGAACGATAATGGAGCTACTAGTGATCCTTTAGATCCCACAGAAACTGAATCTGAATAATATCCTCTTGAAGAATTTGCAGAATGTAATGTAATAGAGGATATTCAGAATCATGAGGACTCACTTGTAGCCTCGGTTTTTTCTGGAGAAGTTATACCTAGAATTAGAAGTGGCAATTGTTATCCAAAACACCGACAAAGTTTTTGACTTTTCTATACATGACAGAGATTATGAGAGTATTGCAACGAGTTTAGTGGATTTTCCTTTAGAAGATGAAATTTTTATAGCTGACCCGCCAGCTCATGAAGTTATTGTTACAGATACATTGGAAGGTATAGGAATTATTAATGAGAAGGATATTGAAAGTCCACAAATACCTTCACCTATTACAACTACATACGAAATTCTTGTCCAAGAATCTACTACTGAAGCTGTTATTGATGATGCATTAGAAAACAAGGGAGAAATTGTTGAAGTTGCCAAATCAGAAATACAAATTTTATCTTTAACTTCTACTAATATTGAAGATTGTACTACAGTATCAAAAAATGTAATGCAATATGCTATATCCATAGTGCCGAAAATTTAAATATATTACTTCCAGGAAACATCTCTACCATCAGTAGAAACTGATCTTCTCAGCGATTCAACAGATATCCAAGATGATACAGATGGCCAGAATATAGACATATTGAAACTAAAAATAAAAATCAATAAATTGATAAATGATGTGAGCAATGATAAGACTAATTCCTGCTTGAATTAGTATAGCAAAACAACTTTTAGCTTCATAACTGAGAGAAAATGCTTCAATACGATTTTCGATGTTTACTTCTTCCTTTGAAAACGTGGTGCAACTGAGTGAGAAGATATCCTTAAGCAATTTTCAGAAAATTAGCTTAAACTTCAACAAAAGTAGTTTATTTACTTGGCTGTAAAAGTTACTATGCTATTTTATGTCATATTTGGTATATTAGACGTTAAGTAAAAATATTTGAAATAGATGAGCATATTTGGTTTAGAGTCCAGATTTTAGAGCATCAATAGTCCTTAGGACAACACTAAGAGAGAAAAATGATTGCTACCTCTGAGGATCAGAGTATGAAACTTTGTTCTTGCAGGAATATATTTTAGAATTTCTACTCCCACTACTGCATAGTAAGACTTCAAACTAGGGAACTTGAATGTGATATATATTTAGATAATAAAATGTGATACTCAGTATCCAGAAGCTAGAGGTGCAACACTTGCTGTTATATGTAAATTTTCAATAAAAGTTCAAAATTTAATGGTATTCCTCAACAAGTTATATGACTGTATATACATATAAATGGAATATATAAACATTAGACAAAGATTACTTACTTGAGTTGGATCTTTATGCATATACTGTCCATTATCCGGAGAATATTGTGGATGATTGTTTAAATGCTGTTGCGGCTCAACGTTGCACATTTCCATGTATTCCTTAGATTTAGGTTTTTGTATCACAGATGTTGATATAGGGTTCGGTGGCGACGCTTCGGCTAGGTCAGAGTATTTGACTTGTCCCGGGCTAAAAGTGTCACTTCTGTTTAGATTAAATTAGACTATAGAAAGTTTGAGCTACCTGTATCCAGCAAACTGATGTCCAGAATACCGGTATACATCGTTGGATGCCGGTGGTGGGTAATGGTTGTGTGGAGCTACCCTGGCCACATGACTTTCCGACATTGGTTTGGTTGGTTGTTGGTCTAGGTGGTTTTTTTCTGCATCTTTTTTGCGAAACTGCCTTAGTGAACTGGTCGTGGACCCACCAGTCGGCTTAAATTAATAAAAAAGAACTCATTAAAACATGAAAAAAATCATAAATAAATAATTATGGCAGGAAAGAGTTCAGGAGGAAATTTTGGTCAATGAATTGAACTGTTTAGCATTTCTACCAGAAAATAACTTCATCCATTTATTTCTTCCCACAAGAAAATATTATTCTTGCCTCTATAAATTGCCAGCAGAGCTGTCAAAGATACTTTTGAAAAGTATTGTCAACTACTTAAGTAAATACCACTCTGTACATCAATTTTACTAAAGTGTGTCGACGAGTCAGCATTTATTTGGTATAAATACCGCGTCGAAATCCATTACCGGCAGACTAAGGCTAGTGCAAAGTACCTCAAATGGTAAAAGCCCCTCTAGCTAAGTCTCCTCCCAGTGCAAACTACCTTTAATGGGAAACGCCCTTCTGGGAGTATTGAACGCAGCAGACTAGGTCCAGTGCAAACTACCTTTAATGGGAAACGCCCTTCTGGACCTGTCTCAAACCTAGCTCCTTCTGGGAGCATTGAACGCAGCAGACTAGGTCCAGTGCAAACCAGCTTTAATGGAAAACGCCTTTCTGGACCTGTCTCAAACCTAGCTCCTTCTGGGAACATTGAATGCAGCAGACTAGGTCCAGTGCAAACTACCTTTATTGGGAAACGCCTTTTTGGATCTGTCTCAAACCCAGCTTCAGTCTTCAGTCACGCCAAGTGTACAGAGGGTACATAATACAGAGTGGCCTATAAGTATTACGTATTACGTCCCACCATAGAAGAGACGACATGATACTATTTCTAGGGTAATATTATTATTATTCAATACATTATCTTATTATGCCTATACCAAGCGAGTTTCTCTCTACCTGAACCCCACCTACGCCCCCAGGTCACGCTCCTGTTGTGACGTCCCAGGACGAAACGTATAGGAGTTGTGACAGTATCTAGTTACAAAATAAGTTACTTTTGGAAAAGATAGGTACTTATTAAGATACTTTAGTATTATTCCCAAATAGCAGGCGGAAAAGCCTATTAAGCTATTGCCGCTTCTTTGGTCCGCAGGTTTCAGGTTCAATTTTAAAAACAAGAATTTTTATAGTTTAAAAATCCCAAATTCTCGAGAAGGTTAAAAATCGCAGGGCGCAGAAAGTTATCACAGTTACAATCACAAATCATAGTTGAATTTTTGTAGAATATAATGGACAAATCGCGACGTGATCTTTTGAAGTTCACAATCGTCAATCAACTCTTTTTTGAAATGAGTTTACACTAACTTAACTGTAAGTAAATTCCACGCACATAATTCTACTATATTTATTAGAAAGCTGTTTTTTCATGAGTTTCCTTGAATGATCTCGTAATTGCGGATTTAGATAGATAGATGCTTTGTATATAAAGTTAGGTACGTATTTAAAAAAAAAGGAGAATAATCTGTGTCTTTGTCGGTAACACCCTCTTCACAAAGCGGCTGGGTGAATAATACATAAAACGTAAGCTTGATGCTGTTTGAAGTCATTTGAATCAGTTTCATTTTGTGGGGTCGGGTTTGGGTAAATGTCTCAACTTTTTTCTGACAGCTCTGATTGTTAGTTCAAAGATGGGATTCAACAATAAGTATCATCATCTCCAGAGTTTTCTCCGGACTTTTATGTCATCTATGGATTCATGGCCGTTCTAACTTCCTATTCTTATCTTAGGAATATTTTAACGGATATAAATTGCGCCGCGAGGACTTAAACCAATGCAATTACCTCTCGTTGGGAAAGCCCCTCTGGAATTAAGTCTCCCCAGTGCAAGTACCTCTCGTTGGGAAAGCCTCTGTGGGTATCTTCAGCCTTATCGTTGTCCAGCGCAATTACCCCTTGTTGGGAAAGCTTCTCTGGACAAGGCATAAGGGTGACGATAACTAACCGACAGTCCCCCAAGCAGTGTTGACGTGTGGCTTCCTATAAGGACCCCAGTGTTGGAAGGGTCATGCATCCTATAGGACTATCGTATATGTAAGGGCATATTTGGGAAAATATATAAGTATCTATACTTTTATACAACTTGAGTGAGTTTCTCTCCATCGACCCCCAAAGCTACAAACCCCCTATGTCACCCCCGTAAGGCGGGTAGTTGTGACAATAATATACATTGCGTTTCCTTAGCTAAAATTTGTTAGTTTTAGAACCCTATAGAGCTTCTATTTTCTTCATAGCTGCCTCTCACTGATTTATTTTGATACTTGTTTATTACGATTCTTCCACTCCTCTGTTATTTTGTTTGCTGCTTCCCTATGACGCTTTATTATTGGCTTCATGTCAGCACTTGCTTGACTGAACTAGGACCAGAGAGGATAAAGCAATCCCAATTTCAGCTTCCTTATTTATTGATAATATTTGTTTATTTAGACTTTATGGAAATCAGTTTATTTTATTCATATAGCCTTTATTTGACAAACAATTTATTAATGAAGAAGGGCGTGGTAGCAATTACTATCCCGTGTCTACATTTACTTAAGCGTATTAGGTTTATCTACTGAAGTGAAGGGCTTCTAAAAATAAGCAGGAAGCGTTAATTTTTTTTGAATTCATGTGTCGCTATTTAATGTATACTTATTATTGGAAAAAAAAATACATTCGAATAATAAAACTCATGCTTATACTGCGAAAACGAACTTAATGTAATGTCAACTTGCATTATTTTGCAATAGCAACTAGATTTATGAAATTTAAAACGAAAATGTTACACAAAGCAATAACATTGCTTGTAAAATTTACATAATTAATGTAGACAAAAATATGTATTCGTGCGAGGATAAAGTGTAGTAGTATTCTACTCGCAAATAATGGCTATTATTCACTCAAATGATTTGCGACGCTGACTTTACCTTTGCGAATAAAAGCCATCATTATGGGCTCGTTGAAAAGTTTACTATACTAATGAAGAATCCAATAATATACCTATTAGACTTTGCTATTATGTACTTATTGGAATTCTTTTTTCAGATCTTTTACTTCAACTTCAGAATATTTTCGCTTATTGAATTTGTAGACGGTGTTGTAACCTCAGCCCATGATGAAAGTTTAGTTATTTGGTCAAGTGAAAACATTAGTTCGAAATACTGTTTTACTTATTGTGAATGAAATAACAAACATAAAATTTACTTCTAGGGCAGGTTATTATTCACATTCTGATAAACTGTCAGGTATAAAATCTGACGGATAAAAACGCAATCTGTAATCCCATTGAACGGCCAATATAATTAGAGCGCTAAATTTGTCTTGCACCTTTCAGATAGTTTATTTAAAGATGAATAAACCAGGCCTTGTAGAATAATATTCTTACATCTTCTTTTTGATAAAAATAGGTTATTGTTATCGTTCAGTATTTGGTTTTGTGCCAATTCCCTTTCTATGGATTTTCTCTGTGAGACCACAAATCAACACAACGGGAACTAGTTTTATTAATCTTGTGATGATGTTTGATATACTGGGTGTCCGAAATAACTTGAAGTACATGGGGAATTTGGAAACATTGAAAATACAGGGTGGACCAAATGGGGAAAAGGTCGCACATCAATAATATGTCATCAATTTCTTTGAACTCGAAATAGCAACGGATATACCGAGGGGTGGTTAACTCCTTAAAATATGTACACAGATTTTCAATCTTCATTGATTTTGTAGGATTTTGAGGATTTTGAATATCTTCATATGATTTTACAGGATTTTAAAAGATTTTAGGTGATTTTAGAGCATTTTAGGGAAGTTAGAAGGGTTTTTAGAGATCCTAAAGGATTTTTAGAGATTTTAACCAATTTGAATGGAAAAACGGAAATTCCTAGACATTCTACTATAGGATTTCATAATACTTTTCCGAATTTCATCATATGATTCTATAGAATTCCACCATAAAATTCAATGGAATTCTTGGACAAAAATTTCTCGGAATTACATTACTTATGAGATTTCATGAAATTCTTCGGCATTCCACTAAAATTTCAAGTTATTCCTTCCATGGGAATTCTGCGAAAATTTTTGTTAATTCCATGGAATTTCACTAGAAGATTCTATGGAATTCCTCAAAATTCCATTCAAATCACAAATTTGAATAGAAAAACAGAAAGTCCTAGAAATTTTACCATATGATTTCATAATACTTTTCTGAATTTCACCATAAGATTCCATGGAATTCCACCATAAAATTCAATGGAATTCTTGTACAAAAATTCCTCGGAATTACAGTGAAAGATTTCATGAAATTTCTCGGAATTCCACTAAAATTTTATGTAATTCAACAGACACTACTCAGAATTTCACTAAAATTTAATCCAATTCTTCGGAATTCCGCCGAAATTTCTAGTGGTTCCATGGAAATTCCACAGAAATTCTGTTTAATTCCAAGGAAACTCTTCGGATTTTATGTACTATGTACTTTCACTGGAATTCCACAATAATATTTCAAGGAATTCCATGTATGTAATTCGACAAGAATTCCTTGGAATTTTACTCGACATTTCATCGAAATTTTATGTCGACACAAACTGAAATTATATATAATTTGATGGATTTTTTTTTTTTTTTTTTGAAATTCTCCAAAATTCTATAGAAATTCCAAATTCTATAATTTTTCTAAAACTTTATTGAAATTCCCACTGAAAAATCCTGAAATTCCACAAAATTTTCATAAAATTTTTCGGAATTTCACTGACTGTAATTTCTTAGAAATTCCTCAGAAGATTTGAATGGAAAAACGGAAATTCTTAAAAATTTTACTACAATATTTCATAATATTTTTCCAAATTTCACCATAAGATTTCATGGAATTCCACAATAAAATTAAATGGAATTCCTCGGAATAACACTATGGAATTTCATGAAATTCTTTGAATTCCACTAAAATTTCAAGTTATTCCATAGGAATTCCGCGACAATTTTAAGCAATTCCATAGAAATTCCTTAACATTTCAGCAGAAGATTTTATAGAATTCTTAGACAAATTTTTTTCGAAATTACAGTATAGGATTTCATGAAATTCCTCGGAATTTCACTAAAATTTCAATTTCAAAATTCCATAAAAATTCCATATTTTTTTTTTAACATTACTGAAATTCTCCAAAATTTCACTACTCAAATATCCTGGAATTCCACATAATTTTCATAAAATTCTTCGGAATTTCATTAACATTTCATGTAATTTCTTAAAAATTCCTCGGAATTCACTAAAACTTTATGTGAATATTTTGAAATTCCACGTGAATAGCCGAAGATTTCTCGAAAGTCCAATGAAACTTCAAGGAATTTTTGAAAATTTCATTTATTTTCATAAGAATTTTTCGGAATTTCACTGAAATTCTCTTTTAATAGCCAGGAATTTCTGGGAATATTAATGAAATTTCAAGTAATTTCTTGAAAATTCATCGAAATTCCATGTTTTTAGCCGGAAATTCCTCGGCATTCTACTTGAAGAATTTTCTAGCATTTTACCAAAATTTAGTAAGAACTGAAATTTCATGTTGGGTATATCGGTGTAATTTCATATAATTGTTTAGAATTCCTCTATGCAATTCATTTAGGATTTCGTGTAATTCAATCACTGAAATTTCATGTAATTCGAGAGGAACTAAAATTTAATGTGAATTCTATGGAAACTCCGCAAAAATTTCACATGTAATTCCTTTTTCAGAATAACATAATTCTACCGAAATTCCTATAAATTCCACTAAATTATGGAATTCTGAGAGACTTTAATTTTTTGGGGATTCCAAAGAATTTTAGGGAATTTCAAAGGAAATATTTTTTAGGAATGTTACTTAATGATTTTATGAGATTTTGCAGGATTTTATTGGTTTTAATGAAGTTTTGTTAGATTTTGTAGGATTTTATGCAATTTCAAGAGATTTTGTGGGATTTTGTTAAATTTTTAAGGATTTCAAAGATTTTTAGGGATTTTGAGTAGATCTTATGAGATTTTCTGGGATTTTGACCAGTTAACCACCCCTCGGGATATACGGGGCAAAAAAGGAAAAAGTGCGTTTTATAAAATCCTCTTACTATATCTTGTTTATTATAAAAGATACAATCAAGAAGTTCAAAGAAGTTGATGACAGATTATTTGTATGGGCACTTGATTGCGCAACTCTTTCCCCATTTGGTTCACCCTGGTTCCCAAAATCCCCATGTGCCTCAAGTTATTTCGGACACTCTGTATAATGGGGTGTAAAAGATACATATTGTTACGAAATTACTTTGGAACCATCGAGATTGTTTGACTGATTCCAATAATTCCAGTCTTCAAATGAACAAACATCTAAATGATTCTAGAGATTTCTCGAATTGAATGTTTTTGTATGTAAAGCGCGTAGTTTGTATTTTGACTCAGTTTGAATAAAATGATTTGTTGTATACAGTTGAATAAAAAGCGATAAGTGATTTTGTGAGTTTTGTAGTCAATATTAAAAGTTGTATTGCATATTAGTGAAAACAGTGTAGCAGCAAAAAGAAATGGAATTCACCAACTGAACAAAATACATGAGACCAAGGGCAAATAAAGTTTGTCTGTAAATTTGTTTTATTTGAAACACTGATAAGTTTACAAATAATCTTTGACGACATCGAGGAAGATCAAAGCAAAGTCTATCAAAGAAAAATTGAGAAGCGCCTTGCTACAGGTCAAGGGCCAAGGCCAAGGCTCATCAAGGTGGATTTCCAAATTTTTCACTGATGAAAAATATGCTTGTTCTATAATAGAGTTTAATCGAACTTGCCATAATAGCAATAGCATTAAATTACAAAGGTATTCACCTACCAAAAAAGACGATTAACATCAAGCATTATCCATAAAGGTTTTGAAATACCATTAAACCATTTTTGTTATCAACTATTTTAACAACATCACATTTATATTATTTTCACCAAGATACTGAATGATAACGCCACTGATACAAATTTTGTGGCTTCTTAAAAACACAAAAATAGATAAGATAATATGTACTCGTATTTTTGTAATAATGAAATCAAAAGGTTTAAAACCAAGATCAAGGGAAAAACGAGCGAACGTGTTAGTTAGGAAAATATTAATTATAAAATATTTACTCTTTGGGTATAGGTAAGTATTGTATAGAAATTCTAAATATTTTGCAATTAATAATAATAATTGTCATTGAAAAAAATATATTTTTACAAAAAGCATATTAACTTTAAGACTAGACTGAATTTGTTTTATCGTTATTCCTAAAATTATAATGTAGAAATGTGTGAAGTGTAAATTTTATTCAAAAACCCAAAAGAAAACATTTTTAAATTATTTACCTCTTTATCGTCATTAAGAAAATCCAATGAAGGTATGTTGGAACCGGGCAAATGCAACAACACATCCATTTTTTTAAATAATTTTCTCAAACAACAATCACTTCAAAATACAATATATTATCACAAAACACTTTTTCGAATAAGCGGTACCCGATAATCGCGGGTTAAATAAAAACGAATGATGGTACCTACCGATGGTTCTGACTGTGCGAACTGCGTCGACGGCGGGTGGACACTGGCAGTTCCTGGGCCGAACTGTCCGGCATTCTGCATTAGGCACTGAAAATTATTAAACAAACAAAAATTAATTGAGTATGATTTAACGGAGACTCTAGGTAACTGTTTGTTGGGGGTTAAGAGATTTGTTTGTTTTGGTATTATGTAGTTTAAGGAATTATTTTATTATTATTGGTTTATGCAGGTACTTTTTTCATACAATCTGATGGATCCAGTAAGCAGGTAGCTTAACTTATGATTAAGATTTTGGAAAACTTTGACAGGTCATAACTTTTTTTCTATTAAAGATAAAAAGCTGAATTTTTCAGCGATTCTTATCCCAGTAGAGGACTACAATCTCTCATTTGGACTTAGAGTTCCGTAAATAAAATCGTGTTAAGCAATTTGGGGTGATTTATCAATTTTTCAATTTTTCTGAGTGCCTTTTTTCATAGAATCTAGATCCAAATCTCAGAATAATTTAGTGTATGGAGTTTGGGGGATCCCAAAGGACCATTAGGACACAAAATCTCAACAAAAAAAAATTTGAAATTTCATCGTTTTAGTAAGAAGGTAGCTACCTTATGATTTAGATTTTGGAAAACTTTGACAGGTCATAACTTTTTTTCTATTAAAGATAAAAAGCTGAATTTTTCAGCGATTCTTATCCCAGTAGAGGACTACAATCTCTGAAAATTTTACCTCATTTGGACTTAGAGTTCCGTAAATAAAATCGTGTTAAGCAATTTGGGGTGATTTATCAATTTTTCAATTTTTCTGAGTGCCTTTTTTCATAGAATCTAGATCCAAATCTCAGAATAATTTAGTGTATGGAGTTTGGGGGATCCCAAAGGACCATTAGGACACAAAATCTCAACAAAAAAAAATTTGAAATTTCATCGTTTTAGTAAGAAGATAGCGAGGGGTGAACACATGGGGATTTATGGTGTACACACACAAGGATTTATGAAGATTTCCTAGGGATATACAGGGAGATCTTTGAAAATCTTAGGATGTATGGTGATGTATAGGAATTACTTCGGATTTACCGGGGATGTACCCAGGATGTAGTTCGTATTTATAGGAATTACAAGGGATGTAGCGGGGATGTATTACATATAGCGTAGGGATGTCAATATTTATTAAAACACCGGTTTTTCCATTAACCGGTTAATTTAGTAACAGTTTTAACTGCCCGGTTATACCTGATATAAAACACCGGTTATTCTGATTAACTGGTTGTTCAGTTATTTTTCCGAATTTTATCAGAATATTTGCATAATTTATACTATAATGTAACACAAGTTAAACAACAACATATCTTTATTGTAAAAAAAAATCGGGAATAGGGTACTTGCATAAAAAATTAAATTGAATATTGTTTATTGCAAACTGTGGGAAATCGAAAAAAAATCGATGCGTGTTTTTCTATTTTGTCCAAATATGATTATTTCGGAAGTTATAACAAATATTGAGTTTTATATATATAGATATACTGAGCATGTGCGACGTCACAACTCACAACGTATTATACCTAAGTTATGACGTCGGAAGGACACTTCAAAGCGTTGTATCTCTGTCAATTTTTGACTAACAAGAAAAAGAAAAAACACGTGTAGACTTATTTTTCAAGGACTATCGAAATCATCAATAAAAAAATTTCATGCAAGGAGCCTATTGTTACATGTTAAGAAAAATCATACACTTTTATAGCCAAATTTAAACGATAACCGATCGGTCATATTGACAGATAAACCATTAATTAAGTGTCATTTGTCAACCAATTGGTCTTAACTGACGTTAAATGCACTGCTTATCTGTCAAGATGAACTTGTGGTCAGTTAAGGATGATACACACTACTACAGGATGGCCTATCTATCCATAAGGCCTGTGTGTAATAAACCCCCTTCTTCCCCCCTTTCGCCAAAATACCAGTTGTGACGTAGGCAGCATGTTATTTCTCGCTTTGACGTAGGCTGCTTAAACAGCCGATGACTTAGTTATAACGTCGGAAATAGTATCACACCAATATGGCGGCGATTACCAAAAACGAGGCCGATAAGCTCTCGTTAGAGTGTGTATTCTCCTTGCTGGTCAGTCGCTTAAAATTAGCTTATTTATCTTCTGTCATTTTAAACATTAAACATATACCCATTGACAACCTATTGCCCATTGACATGTACCTTAACCGGCCTAACCTACATGTACATGTTTTTTTCAATCCTGTTCATTAGGGAAAAATGGAAAACAAATAGCTACTGAACGAATTCAAGGAGAATACACACTCTAAGGAGAGTGCTTATTGGTCTCGTTTTTGGTAATCGTCGCCATATTGGTGTGATACCATTTCCGATGTCATAACTAATAATCGTCAGCTGTTTAAACAGCCTACGTCAAGGCCATCAGAAATAACATGTTTGCCTACGTCATAACTGGTATTTTCTTAGGGTATTTTGGTGTGGGAGGGTAGGGGGGAAATACTACAGATGGGCACTACTATCGGTCAAAGACTGTGGAAATAGGTATTCGACTGTTGTCGCTTATTCAATATTTTACAATTTATTCAATAAAACGAGAGAAAAGTCTACTTGTTTCACTTTCACCGGTTATTATAGGTTTAAAATCCGGTTATCCGGTTATAACTGGAAGCAAAAAACAACTGGTTTTAACCGGTTAACCAAAGAGAGAACACCGGTTTTTCGGTTTTAACTACCGGTTATTGACATCCTTAATATAGCGTTTTCCATTTGTTGCAGGTTCTGATATAAAAACACGAATATATGTTATCCAGGTATCTTGTCTTTTTCGTGAGAATTTGGCGAAAGTGGCTAGAAAACCACCCGAACTATAAACTTGGAGAAAACTTTATAACAACCATATATGATAACAACAAATTGTTATAATTGCTTGGAACTGAATTAACCTTATTTGTTATTTTCGTGAAAATTCTATTCTAACACAAGACATGTTTATTCCTTCAATATTTTCTAGTCAAGCATGCGAGAAAATTTTTCGAGCGACAAGATCAATGACTACAACGTTTTCAACAGTAGTCAACTACAGCATTAAAAAAGACATCATGCGGCGCTTAGATTGGATTAAGGCAGTGAACAATATCTTAAATGATCTTAAAGATGTTGTGATTTTCCCTCGGGAAAAAGATTTTGCATCGGTTTTACATGCAAAATCTGCAGAAACGACTCCAGAAGCAAAAACTACCTGAATAATATCTGATGAATTAAACTCACAATTTCATGACCTTTCTGATACTTGTATAGAAAATGTAGTATCAACTGCTTTGAGAGATGCAATAAAAAATATATGCGATTTAGGAATTGAAATTGATGATAACAGTTGGAATACCATATCGATGCCTATAATAAAAAACACTGTTACTAAAAACGAAAGCGGCCATCAAGCAGAAAACGTTGTCGAAGACATGGTGAGTGACATCGAGAATGATGAAATCTCGGAACGAGTCTCGGATTCATCCGGAATCATTCAAAACATTTTTAGTGCCCTACCAGTAGGTACAGACAGAAAATGAGAAAAATAACCTTGATAATCAAGAGAGTAGTTTGTTTTTGGATATGTGTAATATTTCATCAGCAGGAATAGGAGAAAAAATAGCCATGAAAGATTTTTCGTGGAAGTTTGTCGAGGGTGATAACGCTTGTATAAATGAGAATGGAGCCATGGTTCGAGTAGCTATTGGAAATAAGTCAGCTGTTACAAAGAAATCATGATTGTGTTGGCTACTTGATGAGAGAAAAAATAAAGTCAGTGTGGATCGTCTGAGGCGCTTTATTCTAAATAATTCCAACAAAGAGAAAACTCGAGTCAAAAAAAGAAACTTGGAGGAAAGGTTTCTTCGAGATTTGCTTCATCATCTGAAACATCTTCGGAAGATGATGATATTGAATATGACGACAGCACCGACACCGAAAGTTTTTGCAGCATTAGTAGCAGAAAAGGATCAGAGAATGACTCGGATAATGATGAGGGTAATGATATTGCAATGGAACATGAAGTCGAGCAGGAGCTGGTATGTAGGGAGTATTGAAAAAATAAAAGGCGAAACTTTCAGAATAAAATTTCTAAGGCAAAAGAAAAGTGAAAGTACATTATTTTGGCAGAAAAAGGCAGACAGTGCAGATGTCGACAAAGAATTTATTTTTTACGGCCCAGATGTTTTAGGCCTAATTCAGATGATAATCAAGATTTTCAGTTAACCAAAGTTGAATATGAATTCCCTCCTAATTTACTTTGGTTAATTTTTTCCTAATCCAAACAAGATTTGAACTTTCATTTATTTCCACTTATGTATGTAAGCATACCGATTCAGTTTTGCGTTATGTTGTTTTTTTAGCATTTGTTACGGTTTTTGTATTTTATATATTGTGTAAAAATGTGAATAAAATAACATATAAGACCTCACACCAATAAAGAATTTATGTCATTCCAGTTTATTATTTGACAATAATCAACCTAATTTCAGGTTTCTTACAGATATAATTAACCTGGGGATGTTATTTTTTCATAACGCCCTAGGGCATTATAAACAATTAAAAAGCCACTTGTATACCGGTTTCATACCGGTTAAATATCTTCCAGGGATTTAACCTTTATTTTGGAAGAAACATGACCAAAATAACAAAGTTTCAACTAAAAAATATCACGGGTAAAATTCGAATAATTTAAATTTGGATAGAATACTAGTAAAACATAAAACGTTGAAGTCACCACGGGCAATATGAACTAGAGGGTCAAATGCCCTTGGCTTGTACTCTATCGGATCTCGGGGACCTATTTGGCTCATATTGCCCTTGGTATCTTAATAACTATAATGTTTCTAACGAAATATGCCTTATTTATGTACAGAAATATTATTATTAGGTAATAATAATCATAATAACAATAAAGGATTTACTGGGATGTAGGCAATTTATCAAGGAATTACTAGGATTTGCAAGGATTTACCAAGGAATTACTATGATGTACTAGGATTTATTGGGATGTAGTAGGATTTTCTAAGGATTTCTAAGAACCGGGGGAATACTTA